TGTGGAAATTAAAACCAGACAGTGTTACATCTATAATTAAGGGGCATGCAAGTGAAATAAAAACAATGAACATAAAACATACATGTTTAATAAATAAAATAATTAATAACATTTTTTACAACTATATACATTGATTTACAATTTCTGCATAAAGCATTTACATGTTCTTTAAGGGAGCTTGTAAATTAAATCCATTTTTAACAGTTCTTTAAGGTAGCTTGTAAATGAAATCCATTTTTAACAATCATATACTTAACTTTTTACAATTATATACAATAATTTACATTTGAACACAGTTTACAGCACTAGTTAAAATCAACAATTGACTGGTTCCAATTAATCAATGCACAGCACACAAATGCAGTTTGTCTATAGTTGTAACATTTTCCTCATCCGGGTTCATTAATAGAATGATGACCTTAACATTGTGAAAGTCCGAAAATCTATTTATAGAAGTAGTTTTAGTTTACCAAAACGGCCATTCGTGTCGCAACGAACTGGAGAATTTTGCAGGAAATGAAATGCAAACATGTTAAAACAATTAATTGCAATCTTTAAGTAGGCAATTTTTACGAATTGTTTTATCATAGTATTATCATTCTTCGTCTGCAATTTTAACATGAGTTGTTATGGATTTTTACTTTATTGATAGGCATGTAAACACACTGATGGGTCAGACTAGGTCATTAAAATAGTGATTGACCTCCCGAATAAATCAATTAACAGACTTTGTTCAATTTGACTATTATGTTGTATGTTCCAAAGAAAATACCACATGAACTTGAAATTCTATCAAATAACCAATATTAATGATAATATCCAAAAATACCCCTATATTAGTATAAATAAACTTACACCATACGGTATATTTTGGATATTATAGACCTGTATATTTTCGATATTATCGTTAACATTGATAGAATTAAAGTTCCTGTGGAAAAAACATTTAATATTCAAATCTCTAGCATGCCTATCAAAGTTCATGATGAACAATGTCTTTCGTCTGCCCATTCATAAATGATATACAATACTGGTTAAAACCAATTAACCATTGAAAAGTTTATAAGAATATCAGTCTGATCATCAGATGTCTACTAGTTCATCTTCACCTGTTGAAGCGTAAATATATCTATGTATGTAGAACAATATTTAGACCCCAATAGGATCACCAAATAGTTTTATAACAAGTCAGGTGACTTGAACAAACCTTTGAAGTTACAGTAACAGATATTGTGGATATTGCATGATTGAAACAAGTCTAAGTCATTCATTTGACATGTTCTTTAACATTTCCAGAGTTTACTTTGACAACTATTGTGAAATCCTTAGCGTTCTAACCTGACCCACGCGGGTCAAGTTAGGAAACCACCCTTTTATACTTTAAATGGAGAAAAGGTTGTTCCTTTGACTCTCTTATATATTCATTTTGAGGGCCTTTACAGAATAATGAATGAAAAATTCAAAACTAAGAAATTAAAATTTTGCCTGTGTCTCCCTTTAAGAAAAAACGTAGAATGTATAAATTTAAACATGTGAGAGAAATAGAAAAATTGAGATTTTCTAAACCAAAAGAATTTTGGAAGTTGTTCAAAAATAAAAGTTATGTTAAACATAATAAGTATCACTTGATTATTTTTTCAAATATTTTTCCGAATTAGGAAACAACATTTTCCAGACTACTGATGAGGAATCTGAGTATTTTTCAAATACGCATGATTTTAATGATATTGATAACTTTGTTAGATAAACCAATAACTGTAAATGTTTAAAATCACTTAAAAGAGGCAAGGCTTGTGGTAACGATTTCCTTTTAAATGAATATTTCATTGAATCAATTGATATTTTATCATATCATTCAAATTATGTGATATTTTTAATTGTATACTTGACAGTGGGCATATTCCAGATAGTTGGACAGAAGGGGTTATTATTCCTCTTAATAAAAAGGGGGATCAAAATAATGTAAATAACTACCGAGGCATAACTTTAGTTAGCTGTTTTTCAAAAACTTTCACGTCTATTATCAGTAAAAGAATTACAAACTATTGTGAGGAAAATTGCATACTATCAGACGCACAGTTTGGTTTTTGGAAAGGAAAGTCAACTATTGATGCTTTATTTGTTTTATCTTCTATTGTTCAAAATTATGTTAACCATAACAAACGTTTATATTGTGTATCTGTTGTTTTAAAAAACCTTTTGATTGTGTGTATTGGAAAGCGTTGTGGTTTAAATTACATAATCTAGGTATGAAGGGTAAATTATTGGGTATTGTTAGGGATATGTATCAAAAGGTTAAATCATGTGTAAAGCCTATTCAGATTTCTTTGAATATGCTGTATGTTTAAGACAAGGGGAGGTAATTTCCCCGGTTTTATTTTCTCTTTTTATAGACGATTTTGAACTTTTTTTACAACAAGACATCAATTGTGGTTTAGAAATTAATGAAATTCTACTGATTTTAATGCTATTTGCAGATGATATGGCTATACTTGGAAATTCACCAGATGAAATATGTAAAAGTTTAAATTTATAATGTGCATATTGTGATAGAAGTTAACATTGATAAAACAAAAGTTATGGTTTTTAGAAAAAGAGGAGGGTTATTGCCTTCCGATGATTTTTTTTACAAAGGCCATAAGTTACTTTTAACTATTTAGGAACTGTTTTCAATTATACAGGTAATTTTGCACTCAATCAAGAACAACTTGTTGGCAAAGCATTGAAAGCTCTTAATGTGTTGTTAATAATATGTAATAAATATAGACTGAAACCTAAATTGCTTTGTCAACTATTTGATTCATTTGTAGGTTCAATATTAAACTATGCATCTGAAATTTGGGGCTACGGCAAATCTAAAGAAATAGAAAGGGTACAATTGAAAATTTGTAAAAAGATATTAAATGTTCATATAAGAACTAAGGTCTAATGCAGCTGTATATGGAGAGTTAGCACGTTATCCATTATATATATTAATACATGTTAAAATTCTGAAATTCTGGTTTCGAATTATTAAAACAGATAACATTATTGTTAAGGAAGTTTATAATATAAGTCTAAATGATTGTAATAATAGTAAAACAGACTGGGTAACAAAAGTTAAGAAATTGTTAAACGAAAATGGTTTTAATTATATCTGGAATAACCCAGAATCTGTTGATGTAAATCTATTAAAACAGAGGCTTATAGACACTTTTGTCCAAACCTGGCATGTTGATAAGGAAAACAATAACGTTTTAGATTTGTATACAAATAACGTTTTAGATTTGTATACAAATATTAAACACAATTTTACATATGGACTGTAACTTGACATTTTGCCAAGCAATTTGAGATTTTTTATTAGTTTAATCAGAATGTCTTCTCATCCTTTACTTATTCATACTGGCATGTTTGGAAATAATAGGTTACCTAGGAATGAACGTTATTGCGTTTATTGTAACATGCACGATCTGGAAGATGAATATCATTTTATTATCATTTGTCCATGTTATGTTGAGCGTAGAAAAACATATACATGTAATAAACTTTATTACTATGTTAAACCTAGCATTCATAAGTTTTTAGATCTTTTAAATTCAACAAAAAAGTTACTTTTGAAAAATCTAGCTTTGTATATTAAAAATGCATTATCTCTAAGAACTACATTTACTTACCATTAATTGTAGTTCATCCTCATATGATAATTGATATGTAATGTAAATGTGACAATTATGCATATTGTATATATTTGTATATGTCATGATGTACTTATTGTACAAGTCATGAATAAAATTGTTGTTCTGTTCTGTTCTATGAAAAGTAATGTTACACTTGACTGATCTCTGACCAATTACACATGTTGATAGTATGTTACAATCACTTCAATATGTTGAACAGTCTACAATTAATACTCACAGGAGACCAATTTATGAAATGTCAAATTGAATCTTAATTATGCCATAATTGACTTCTGCACAAGGTAGTTAATATTTAAGAAAGGATATACTTGTGCAAATGAATAAAAAATTAAAAGACACATAAATAAAACAAAATTAACATCGAGTGATTGAAACAAAAAAGATAATTAGCCAACAGACAATATATAATGTTTATTATATTTGCTTGTATGTTCATAATTGTAAAAAATTGTGAATTTTGTAAACTTTCATAATAATAAATTTAAAATACTGACTTTATGTTGAAAGCTTTTATCAAAAATTTATATGCTTAAACACTCTTGATTTCCTCTTTCATTTTGAGTGATTTTCTTTTTTTTACTGAACATCATCTGGATGTCTCAAGTGTTCTCTAATTTTTGACATGGCACTAATTAATAATTTTGAGAAAGTAATATATTAAGAATTTTAATAACACTACAGTAATTAAAAATTTTGATAAAGTTATATGAATCTAAAACATAGAATGTAAGACAGGCAGATAAAATCTATCATTTGAATCCCATTATATTATATAAATGCTAATTAGTTTGAGTGAAATTATTTTTATAAACGTTTCCAAGTTTTTGTACTGTCTTAGAAATTTTTCACTCCTTTTCCTTTCCCTGCTTTCACAGAATTTGCTAAGTCCAAATTTTTCTAAGAAGCTTGTGCAAGCTTGCAATAAAAATGTTTCTTGTAAGCTTAAGCAAGCTTGCAGAATTCTGTATGAAACTAGCTGCAAGCTTGCGCAAGCTTACAGCAAGCTTACAACAAGCATAAATAGTCAATGTAAGCAAGCAAGCTTGCAGCAAGCTTGTTGAAAGCTTACCACAAGCTTTCATTTTGGTTTGGGCATATAGGAGTGTGGCGATATGAATCTTTGCAGCATTGTTTTGCCCCCTTAGATTTAGTGACATCAAGTAACACTCTAAAGCATCTCCAGCTCTACCTTCTTTTTCCATACACTTTCCGAGAATATTTAGAGCTGTTTCCCGATGTCCAAGGTTTTGTTCCTCATTTATGGTTCTGATAAGTTTGAAGAGAGCAGCTTGCTTTTCATCATGTCTCCCAAGATGGTTGTTAATCTTGTATTGTAGAAAGTAGAGGTAAGGGAGGGAAATCTACCACAGCAAAATCCATCCATTTGTTGTCTTGTCTAGTGCGAACCTTTCTGTCCTCTTGTGTAGATCTAAACATTTCATATCTGAGTTCTGCTGGTACACAGTGAAGTTCACATGGCAGAAATGTAACACATGATGCTGTTGTATATCGTATGACTTCTTCATTATGATTGTCACATAATTCAAAGAATCCTTGTCTTGGCAGTTCATTCTCATTTTCATTACAACAACAGATAGGCTCAACAATGTGTAGATCATATCTTTTTTCAATCTCACTGAGAACCAGGTCAGTTTTTTGTATTTCTTGAACGCAGTATAAGATTGAGGCTAGTTTCAGTTTACTTGATGCAACATCTGTATTCAGACCAAGTGAGATGAGTTTGAGGGCATCTGCTGATACAGTGTTGTACTGATAAATGTTGAGTGAAGCCAGTACAGATCCAAGTGTTGTACAATACCATGGTAACAGAAGATGACTGGCTGTCTTATCTATACCTTCATATTTACAGTTAACTGACTTTGATAAAATGTTCTTTAATATTTCAACAGCTTCATTAGGACAACTGTCCTTAAGATGATTATAAGTATTCATCAGTTTCTTAGATATTTCTGAAGCCATACTAAAATATAGAAATCCTGAAATAAAATCACTTGTCTTAATTAGACAGAAGTTATAAAACTTGTCATGAAGCCTGAAACCAAGATGATCACAATTAATCCCTAGAAGTGCCACTCCTTCACTGTAGATGATATTGTTGAGTATTTCCAGGATATATGGTTTGACTGCAGGTGAAATCTTTCCCCTCATTAAATTGTTCCCTGGTATGATAAAATGTGGACAATGTTCATTAATGATATTATTGTACAGGAGATATAAACACAGTGATAGACAAGAAAGTAAGTTATTTTCTCTCCAGATGTTAGAACATGTTTTGGAAATACAGTGGAAGAGTACAGTTTTACACATGAAACTTGTAATAACATCTTTAAACAATGGATTAATAAATGTTTTTAAAATGATTTTCATCAAGACATAACAGCGAATCTGTGTAATATTCAGGTTGAACATTAAACACCTTTCAGCGAAAGATGTTGATATTCTCCATTCAAATTGCTCATGTTCACTGCCACTACATCCAACACCAACAACAAAGCATCCAGTTCTGCTGCAATATTGTTTCATTTCAGAATACGGCCACTGACCTTCACCTTGTTGATCCAACCATCGTCTAGCTTGTTGCGGCCATGTTGTACAATATAGAGCAAACACATGATCTATATCAGGGTAGCCTCGTTGTCCTTTTCTGGCTTGTGCTGGCCCATGTAATTCTAAACCGTTCCTGTTTGTGATAGATACCAAAGAATTCTTTAAAAGTAACTTTCCTGTTCTGTCCATGAAGAAGCATTGGTTAGCTTCACCATCAACAGGAAGAGGAGCATCAGACCTCAGAAATTGAAGTAAACAATATCCAGGAGATACAGAATTATCTTGAATCATCAAAAAATTATTTAAACCAGGTAACCAGTCACTCCAGTCTTGTATCACAGGGTATCCTTTACTGCATACAAGTTGATCTAGGTCTGAACCCATTCCATCTGTTGTTGTACATTCTGATTGACTTCCAAAAAAAAATGTTAATTTATCAATAACACCAAGTAGTTGGTCATTTATATTTATCATTGATTCCATCAGAAGCCATTTTCTTCTCTTTTTCATCACTATTCTCTCATCAACACCTATATCGGCCAGAACCTCTGATAGCTTCATTGACACAGTCTGGGTGTAATTTGGTACTTGATACATTCTGAAAATATCATTAATGTTCTAAAATATTATGAAGTTTCATATATTTAATTTCTTCACTTCCTTTCTGATTTAAGCTCACAACAATTATTATTGTTAAATTCTTAAAATAGAAAATTGATTTAAGATAAGTTTTTATCATCAATTTTTGTTATATTGCAAGAAATGTATTAATATTTTTTTAGATTATTATTGTTTTACTTTGTAAAAATTGATTTACACAGTTTATTTTTTTATATAACCTATGAAATGAAAATATAACCTATGAAATGAAAATTGAAATCAAATACATAATTTTGACTTCCTCATAGTGTAGAATAATAATTAAATTATTACCTTTTTGCTAATATCGGTCACTAGATTTTCAATATTTTAAAGAAAAACAAAATATTTCAGAAATTTCCCAGTTGCTAACAACAATTAGAGTATATTGGGTATTCCATATTTGTTTAAGAAGTTAACTCTGTTGAGTAGTTATTTCAAATCTGACATTTGTTGTCTCCCTTTGTTGAAGGAATTCATGCATGTTAAAGGGACTCCACTGAGGTTTTTTGTAATGTCAGGATAGAAAATAATTGTTCAAGATTAATGTTCCATTTGATGTAGGTTTAGACCAATAACTTCTGTACCAAATATCAGATCATTGGCTCAGTCTGTTTTTCCGGAATAATTATTCTAATTCTGAAAAATGACCCGAAATTGTTACCAGTGACGTTTCTACGCTTTTTCACTAAAATCGACCTTAGAATAGCACAAAAATGTGAGTTTTAATTCATATTGAGTACAGTATATTAATTTCTATTCTTTTGCATATCTTTCTATTTTAAGCTCCCCAGCTGATCTATGTAAGAGTTTTTTTAACCTCAGTGGAATTCCTTTCATGCATAAGTTTGAAGAAAAAGTTTATTCAGCGGTAGGTCTAAACCGGTAGATAATAAAACAATATAAACATCTGGTGTTGACCGTAATTTTCTTTCCACTGACCTTATCTTGATAAAATTTGTTCTGTTAGTCCATACCTACAGGTATTCTTCTACAGGAATCCTCCATTGCTAATACAAGAGGGCCATGATGGCCCTAAACCGCTCACCGGAGACAGAATACTTGTTAATTTGTGTTTTTTAAAAGAAGAGGTTTTTTTTTTTACTATATGTATATCAGGAAAGTCAATTACCCCCCCCCCCCCCCCCCCCAGGCCTGCCAATTTTGACTCCAAATTGCTAGACATTCACTAGAAGATGTTTCATGCCACATGCAAGCTCTAGCTCTTTGTATTTTTTAAAAGAAGCTTTTTTTATTGTTTTTACTATAATATTATGCATGTAAGGAAAATCAATGACCACCCAGAAGGGGCCATTTTGACTAACATACTTGCGTTATCATAACTCTAGTTTGAACGTAACTTTTTGTGTAAGCCGAACTTACTTATTTATTTGCGTTTCACTAAAACTTTCTAAGCTACGTATTTGCTTAAGTTCAAACTTGAGTTACACTCACTTATTGGTGGTGTAAATTGCATGTTCTGTTTAATGAAACGCAACTTACGTAGATTTACACTTTGCACAAGCCCAAATTTACGTAAAAAGATACCCAAAACTTACGGAATGTTAGTGAAACCCTAGCCAGGGCTTTTATTTGAACAAACTTGGTAGACACTTACTAAAGATATTTCATGCTTAATATATAAGCTCTAGCTTTCTGGATTTTTTAAAATAATATATTTGTATCATGAAGAAAATGGTGATTATTGACAAAAATACTTGTATCAGGACATCAGTTTAGTTTTCTGTTTTTTAAATTTTATTTATATAATACAATATATTTGTTGCTCTAAGAAATTCTGAAAAAAATCTGAAAAAGAAATGCTTCATGTAATAAACAACACATAGTACAGTTCACTGTAAATACATATATATTGGGTTCTTTAACAGAATGATTTTGTTTTATAATAAGAACGAATAAAGTGAAACACAAATCTTATTTTAAAAACACACAGACACTTATTATACATCTTTATTTGAATGTCAAAATAGTAACTCCTTAACAAAAGTTTAAAAGCTACATAAAACAAATGTTATGTAATGGCACTATGTAAGTTCTTTGACATCATAAATACAATGATGTCATATCCAAAACAGAAATATAAATGTCTCTCACAATTACTATACCTTGTTTCCATTTAAATGCATACCATTAAACTTGGCAATCTTGTATCACACAATATAGTTTTGATATCCTTTATTTAAGAATTCTGATTAAATTTCACCCATCACCCTACAACGCACACATTTATTTCATATCACAGATCTATTATCTATTATATGAGTTCTGAATCATAATTCATCATGTAAAGTTTTCCCCGAAGACTCGTCCCTGATCTGAAGAACTATTTTCCCTGTATTTTTGTTCGCTTCCATATATCTATGGGCATCAGCAACTTTGTGAAATGGAAATATTGTGTCAATTATAGGCTTCAATTGAGGCTTGGAACCATCCTTAAACAAGGGCAGACAATTCTTTGAAAAACCATCTGTTATATTCTTCTTATACTGAAAAATAAAAAATATATATATTTGTAAGTACATACTTCATGGTCTCTATCTATTTTCAATGATACCCTGCGATGCATAATTATGATTTTTTGCTTTGTGCACAAACACAGTTTAGGTTATATTGTGCAACAGGACAGATGATTTTGGCTAACCTATGAAGGTCTAGATCAATAACCTGTATGCAAAATTTCAGATCATTCCCTTAACCCTTTTTTCCAGAATAATTATTCTAATATTCTAAATGACCCAAAACTGATATGTGTTGCAACATTTGTAACTCAAATTGGGCTTAGAATAGCACAAAAATATGTTTCTTAATAATTGTTTGCATGTCTTTCTGTTTTAAGTGTCCCAGGTTGATCTAGATGTAAGAATTTAAAATGTTATGGTTTAAGGCTTTTGGACCTAAAGGTTAACAATATTTAGCAAGAAAAAAATAAATATAATATCATACTTGAAGTTTCCTAGCTCTCAAAGTTGTTCCTGTTATTCTGATTCGTTTTCTTAACAACTGACTAAACATATCTCCACTAATATTTCCACCCCCTGCAAAGAAATAAATGAAAAATAAAGCTTTTGACATCATATAAATGCTATAAAACTATTTATGGGAATATTTTGTACAATCTCCCTATTCTGTTTATATTTTGGCACTTTCAAATGTTAATATAAAGAATTTCAATATTAAAATATTAAGATTTTCCCACATCCTAGTATAAACTGTTCATTATGAACTCTTATAGTAATAGTTTTTGTACAGAAAACCCCCGATTTTCGACCATGTCTCCCGATCTCCCGCCGTGGGATCGAAATCCCCCGATTTTCAAAAATTCAACCAACAAAAAAATTAAAGCATCATTTTTACCAATAAACATAATTAAACAAACGACTTAAACAACTTTTACAACTATATATGCCTGAAGTAATATTTCCCCATTAAACAGCAGGGGTCTAACGGATAATTGTATTGTTAGTTACTCCGACACACTTCAGCTGTCAAGGAATAACAAATTCTCCTTTGATTAACCTGTCAATCAGTGTCAGTATTGCAGGTGCTTAACCAATGACAGCGTCCGATACTGAATGTGTGACATATCAATTTTTGTTTGGCTATGTAACCCCGCCTTGAGTTTGTTGTCGGCATTGGGTCTTTGAAGTTGATAAGTGCAGATAAAAAAATAACTATCAGGCAATAGAATCTCAAAGAATCACAGATAAGCAATGTTTGAAACTATTATTTTTCATGTAACTGTGATCTATGTTGTTGCAAAAATAATATAAACTAGCTTTGTCTCACAGTAAGCAACAACACTGAGGAGGGATTGAAAGAGGTAAACATCCGTTTCAATCAGATAAATAATAAATAATACCTGTTTTAACACCCAAAGGGCCGAAATAATTAGGTCCAATTATTATCCAGTAGTCAGTACACTCCAAAAAACCTTTACACAACTCTGCATCAATTACACAGTTTATAAGTACATATATACAGGTATCAAGTGACGTAGTGTCTAGACTCCCTACTGCCATATAAGGCAATTGATGTGTGTTAACAAATTGAGGTGTGAAGTACATAAAAACTGGATTAAGATTTGTGTCAGATTTTTTTTTTACTTTTTATGAAGTGTCAACGGAAAATTTTTAAGACAGCATTTTTTTATTTCACCTTTCTATGGCTACACAAATTCTCCGTGAAAATGTTGGTAACCTTTTATTTAAAGAGAAAAATCTTGACTGTTAAAGTATATTTATTTTAATGATTTTGAATGCATCAAATTCAAGTTATTTGTACTAAAATGATTCAATATATATCTGATATAAAATGTATTTTATATGATAAACATGCAATTAATTATATTTGTTTTACAGGGATTCTTATTTTATTTACATCAAATATTTAAAGTACCTATGCTTATTTGCAATTGTTTACATATTATTCTTTCACAGTCATGTATGTTAAAACTTGAAAATATCAAATGATCTTGTAGAAATGTTCATTTTCATAATAAAATGGGGGAAATTTTATTAAATGTTTGCATCGTTTTAAGATTACGACTGGTTTGTGCTTGCTTAAAAATCCCCCTACTTTTGGTCCAAATCCCCTGCTTTTTAAAGCCAAATCCCCCTATCTGGGTGGCTGGAAATATGGCATGTATGAGCTTGCTTCTCCAGTTTTGATTTGGAACATTATATTTTTAATATATGGGGGTTTCAATATAACAATACTAATATTAAGCCACAACCATTAAGAATTCTTACTGTTTTTGTACAGACTGGTTCTCAAGTTTTGATTTGAAATGTTCCATTTTTAATATAAGGGGGCTTCAATATCACAATACTAAAATTAAGCCACAACCATTAAAAATTCTTACAATTTTTGTACAGACTGCTTCTCTAGTTTTCATTTTGGAACTGACAAGTTTCAATACCAAAATACATTTTTTATAACTAAGCAGTCAACAGTGTAGACAAAAGGAGCAGGCCAGCATGCTCCTACTTTTATCATGGTTGGAGCACAAAAAGTTACAGTTTCTAGCTAATCTACACAATAGGTATATCCTGCAACAAACTAGAAACAATATGCCAGTCTGCTGAATCCAAAAATAGACTCAACTCGGACAAAATTTGCACAAGGTACTGTCAATTTGAAGTGATTTCAAAAACATTTCAGATGTCCTGTCAACATTTGGTTTAAATATCTGATAAACTAATCTTCATGCTGGTCTGACTCTAAACCAGGAGCATAACCCTGATGAGTTCACCATACGATTGGTCGATGAAATGTTTATTTTCTACATAAGAAATTTCCAATATCAAACCAAGTTTTAAATTCTAAATCGTTCTAGTCTTCTAGTATCCCTCAATATCTCAAATAAAATCAGCAAAATAAGTTCTTTTTCATAGTTTTTATCTTCTTAGGTTCAGATTCAATTAATCTTGCTCCTGATGAAATGGACACTTTTGTATGTATGTATGTATGTGTTCTAGGCTTAATGAGGGTCCATTCGCCCTTTCAAGCACTGAGAGTACGGACCCCGGACATGTCACCATTCATGTCCTTAAATGTTACTATCAACCAAAAGATGACCTATAAATTGAATTCAGTAATTCACTGAATGATACTAAATATGTATGCATATCGATTTTGATCCTATCAATCTGTTTATATACCTAACAAGCCATAGAGGACCCATCTTCCCTCTGTGCGAATTGACTTCATATTCTGTTCATAATACGAGGCCCCAATACAGTCTATTATCAAGTCCACACCTCTCCCTGTGCAAAGAAAAACGTTAATAAAATACATATGCAAAAGTTCGTCAGAAATACCAGTATTGAATATAAAATTATTTATTAATTTAAAATCACTACAAATTTGTAGAACAGAGATGTCACAAAAAAAATAACACTGTCACATTGTCAGTGCAGACCCATACAGATGGACAAGGGAAAATCTGTTTCACAACCCCGGTCCCCCAAACACAAAATAGGGCATGATTAATATACTGTAATTGAAAGGAGTTTAAAGAACCTAATAAAGGTCTTATTGTAAAACCTCTATTTTTATTTGACATATAGTCACCTAAGTGCAATAACCAATTAAAACCTATTAAAGTTAGAAGAATTTATTCTGTTATTGCACCAAGGTGATGATATGTAATTATACTTGCAAACAAAGCTGTTGCAAAGTTGTTGCATCTCTTAACCAGCCTAATATCTGCTTAAAATCATTGATTTTCAGATACAGCGATTAGATGTACCATTGTATTTAAATTTCAATATACTGTATGGTGTGCTCTTTAAAAATATCGTTACATTTCTTTCCATACAGAAATACATGTACTACAAGCTTTTTTTCTGACATTATCTCTATTATTCTGAACTTAAAAATATAAAAAGAAAAAAATCTGGTCGAACTTCAGTCAAACCTCAAACAATAACAACAAAGCATGGAATGGAAACTTTAAACAAAGTCACATAAAGTAAAACTTTTTTTTTCGGGTATTAAAATGCATAAATATTCTCATTGGTCAATAGTAATGATTATCATTTTCTATGTGATGATATGCAGTTTTAGATGAGGGTAAATTTCTGAAACTTGTATAAATGGCTTTTAGGCAAATCTGTAGAAAATTTAACCTGACCTGATTTATTATATAGAATAATATACATAACATGGGAAGTTTTTCATACACAACCTTTTTATAATTGTAAGTCATTTGGTTTATACAGAATTTATTTTAGTTCAATTGTGTAGGAAGATATAAGCTTATAAACACATTTTCGAATCCATTCCTGGAACCAACCAGTACTGAGCAATGATTGTTAAGTTTCTTGCTCAAGGAAACAACGACTTGCCCCTGACAGGGTTTGAACCCGTGCAGCTAGCGATCATTAGATTAACAGTCTGCCGCCACATGTCAGTCACTTAACCAAATGACCAAATATTTTTTGCGCTCAAAACACTTCAAGATCATTTAACTGCATCCAAAATTACTAGATTAATAGTTAGTTGTTGAAAACAATCACCTTGTGTAAATTCTAGCACCTTTTCACTCCAATCACCCTCTTTATAATTGTAGCCCGCCACAGCACCAAGGTCCTTCGCCATTTGAAGCTTAGACTCGGAACCTGCTGTTACAATAGGCTTACAACCTGCTTGTATGCACAACTGTACAGCTGCGGTCCCTACACCACTTCCTCCAGCGTGAATAAGCACAGAATCACCTTTCTCCAATTCACCTTAAAATTATAATATCAGACAATGCATAGTTAATTAGTTATATTTGATACCATAACATTACCATGCAAAATATTATAAAAAGATTTGTCCATCATTCAGTCCAGACAAAACCATCAGTTTTAAAGAAAATATCAGAATATTAACCAACTGAATAGCAGAACGGTGCAGATCATTACTAGATGACACAAAAGTTCAGGCTGATTTTGGACTGCACTTGTCACATTGCTAGCACCAGGTATGCCAAATTAATCATGATTTCATAATACTTTTCTCACTTGTGTAATGAAAAAATTGTATATGTTGTAAGAAATATATATAATGTATTTCTCTTTAAAAATTATTTTTAGTACATGTACCTATTTAAATACACTTTTAACCTTTTGTAATAAACTTACTGCATTTGATATTTGATTTTTTATAAAAAAAATTCTCGGCTTATTTTGCACTGCCGAATATTTTTACTGCAGATTTTTAAAATTTTACGATAAATTTGGAAATTCCATGACATTTACTACGATAAAATTTCAATTTAGGAAATTCCATGATATTTCCATGACAGAGGGACATAGTGATTTCTTTGAAATTTCCAGGTCTGTGTCAATCCTGATAAAAGAGCTAAAAACAAAGGTTTTATACTGGTACCTGCAACGTGTAAGAGCTGATATGCGGTCAGCCAGACTTCCGGTATACCGCCCGCTACAGTAAGGCTCATTCCAACCGGAACTGGCAGTAGTATATCCTCCGGTACAGCCACAAACTCAGCATAACCACCACCTTCGTGTACAACGTAAAACAATATGATTTTATAACAGTCTATATAATACCAAAACCTGCATTAAGAAGGAAAGAATTCAAAAAAAAATTTTGTCAGTGAGTGTTTAGTTACAAAAATATTATAAAATGTAATTTAAGTAACGATATAACTACAAATGTACATGTATATTGTTAGAAGCAGTCGACAGTCACATTAGAACCACTGACATTCAGTAAGCTAACTGGATTGCTATATCATGTGAAAGAATCAAAAATGTCAAACATGTTTTTAACCTTCAGCAGTAAAGAAGATGAGATTTCCAATCTAATGACTGTACCCACTCAGTCACTTGGGTCCCCTAGAACATTATAACCAAGCCCCCTATATGCACAATGTAAAAAAAGCATGGCAATTTTTTACAACAATGTATATTACAAAGAATTCTAAGCATTCTCCCATTGCTCTTTTACTATTAACATTGGCCTACATCGAGTAAATTTCATGGCCAAGATATTTTACTTGAACTGAATAGGTCAGTGGTTCAAGCCCTTGTTTCAACAATCTCTGACCTTTCAGAAAACGCCTGTACCTGGACAATAGTCAAAGAAAGTGTTCTCAATATTATAAGGTGTCTTAAGGTAACTTTACCTGTTAATAACGCCATAACTTTGTCCCCAATTTTCCAGGACCCAGTACAGTCTGAGCCAACCTTCTCAACAGTGCCAGCAGCCTCCAATCCAAGTATTTCACTCTCCCCTGGTGGAGGTGGATAGAAACCTTTCCTCTTAAATATTCAATATGAATATTAATCAAAGAGGCAATATACTAACAAAGTGTTATAAATTTGACCATAATCTGTTAACATTGAGGAGATAAAAAAAATAGGCCTCAGCGAGAATCCATTTTAACTTACACCATTGACTGGGTTCTAAAATAATAATTCAAACACAAACCATATGACAGATTTTTACTCTTTACCAGTGAATGAAACAACCATATGAACTATAGTGCATTATTTCAAATATAAAAAAGATATCAGAGTGGAACCTCTGATCTACTTTTCAAAAACAATGTAGCAGTCATCAAATTTAGCACTGGCCTGGTGGCCCATGGCCAGTGAAAATTATTTTGGGCCAGTGTTAATTTTAAGAAAATTTAGTTAAATATTTAGAAGAATAAATTCTGAAAATTCTGAATAAAACTGGAATTCAGGCCAGTAAATTCAAAATCTTAAATTAAAAGACTGATAAAGCAGTCAAATCTAGTAAGTAATCGCCAACCAAGTCCACCCTTTGAACCCTTTCCCTCATGAGCATATTGTGAAAAATGGCCGTTTTCATTGAAAAGCCTCCTGTTACAAGTTCAAACTGCTATGAAACTATGCAAAATGCTTCAATACTAATCAAACTTGGCACAGATGTTGACTGGACCATTGCCTTGGTAACAACATGCTCAGTCTTAAATTTCCTGTTACCATGGCAACGAGGGGATATCTCAAAATTGCCAAATATTACTGTTTTGCCTTGATTTTTTCCATCAAAATTTATTTCAAAGTGCTGCAACTTCTCAAGGGATTGAGATAGAGTCAAAGGCTTTTCAGCGTTGGTTACACATTACCTTATGATCGACCTGGGGTCATTTTTAGCCTCTCACAAGTCTAAAATTTTCTTGGCGATGAGGGGGACTACCGCCCCGCTTCAAACCCCCCAAACAGAACAGGTCACATCCCCCTTCTGGTAACCCCCTGATGTATCTTTTGGATGGGGGGACACCGCTGAAAAAGTGATCACTTTTTTTAGCAACATTTCTCAAACGAAAACGTATGTTTGGGGCCCAAATAGGACATTTTTTCACTATTTGAGGCCTAAAAGGGGGGGGGGGGGGTCGAAAGTGCGTTGTTTCGCGTATATATGAGGTAAAGGGTTAAATGGTTATACATGGTTTTAAAAAAACCTGACCTCTTTCAACGGAAGCCACTTTTGTCTATTCCTAAAACTGGCCTTTAAAGACAAGTTTGACAGTATTTACCTGCAGAGTGTCCGCACGGTTAATAGCTGAAGCATAAACTTTCACAAGGACTTCCCTCTCCCTCAGTGCTGGAGTATTTGTTGTTCGTATTGACAAATTCTCCGCCCCACCCTTCTCATAATGTACATATTTCATCTGTAACATAGAAACTACCTACATGTCTTTTTTATATATGTAACAGGCCGAGGGTAAGAAAAATTTGCAGCCTGACCGGGACTCAAACCCAGGACCCTCAGAATACCGCTATGGCTCAACCAACTGAGCAATCTGGCCGCAAACATCGTTCACCAACTGAGCAATCTGGCCGCATACACATCTTATATAGTTCTAAACCGTGACATATATATATATTTTTTACTTTAGACTTGCAGTTCCCTTGAAGGTAATCACAATTTCTACATCAGTATTTCTTCAAAACTAGAAGAATTCTATGCCATGATGCAAAACATTTTCCTCACCATAATGTGATAGAGCCAGTGCTTAGTAAGGGCTTGCGAAAATCAATGTTAACTTATATCTAAAGATTTTTTATAACTTAAAATTAAAATATGCCTTGTCTAAAATATGCCTTGTCTCAATATTTCTACTGCAAGACCGACCAACTTTACAAACTGATATTACACAGAGGTCAGTTAAGCTGTTTAAATCTTCTATATAATAAACGCTCTAAAGCGCACAATTTGTTGGGCTAAAATAACCCTAGAGTCTGTCTTTTATTGGTTCACTTCAGACTAGAGCAATGTTATTTCTGTAAATAATTCAATTAAAAATGGTAACCACTAACCAGGTAACATAATGATATTTACATGTAATTCATAAACATTTCAATCTTGATTTCCACCAAGCAGTCAAGAAAAGTTGAACAAAACATCCTAAAATTAAAAAGTGGACAGTTTATCCACTGGATAAATGCTTAAACATTGGCCAGCTATCTAATGGATAAATTTTCATTGCTGAACAGTTGGATAATACCCTGGTTCCTAACCAATGGATAGCCTATCTGAAATTATTCACATCCGAAAACTCGTACATTTAATGAAAAATTAAAATGCTTCATACATACCTCTGAAGACATGACATGTAAACTCCTTACAAATACACAGTAAATAGGTAATAAGAATTTAGATAGTGGAAGACTCATTCAAAATTTAGAACGGTGAACGTTGCTGTATTAATCTGGGACAAATCGGTTCGTTTTCTAGGACGGTATGTCTATATTCTGTACTGAACGGTCCCACGGAATTATTACATCGGCTGCTAATTTAATAATGTAGACAATCACATTTCCGATGTTTTATCATGAAATTGATTGATCCGAAATTTTCTACAGTTGAAAACACATGATAATTAGTATATATGGCTAATATAGAATTTGTAAAATCACATTTAATCAGATGCGACTCTAGGACAGTAGGCTGTGGAATTCACTGTCTTGGTCTAAAAAATTTATTACAGTATGTATCAGTAATGTCTGGGACATATATACTGTCCTAGATATTGTGCACAATCAAATTATCTACCTTTTTACTGACATTAAAATATTTGTTATCGTAAGTTCCAGTTTTAATTCATGTCCTAATACTCCCTGTTCATCATAACTTTATATACCAATCAATTACTGAACTTACAGAGAAAAGGTTACTTAAACATTGAAGAAAGGTATTATGAAAAGCAAATAGAATGAAAGTACATGTAACTTATTGCTTAATATTGTTCTTGTACTGTGAAACTAGAACTCCACGAATCGGATGTGTCGCCTTGTGAACAATATAGTTTAGGAGAAATGGTCAGGTCAAAATTGAAATAAGAAAATGTGTCGCCTTGTGAACAATATAGTTTAGGAGAAATGGTCAGGACAAAAATGAAATATGAAAATCAACAAAGGGCAATAACTCAAAAAATAATAAGTGAAGAGCAGCAGTTTCTGTGCACTGCACTTCTTATCAATAAGATCTATCATTCTATGAAGTTTCAAGTCCATATCTTTTATAATTTATGAGAAATGGCCTGGACAAAAATAAAGTATGAAAATTAATAAAGGGCAATAACTCAAAAAATAAGAAATGCTGAGTACCGGTTCTTGTGCACTGCACTTCTTCTTAATGAGATCTATCATCCTATGAAGTTTCAAGTCCATAGCTTTTATACATTAGGAGAAATGGCCCAGACAAAAATAAAGTATGAAAATTAACAAAGGGCAATAACTCAAAAATTAGGAAGTACAGAGTGCCATTTCGTGTGCACTGCACTTCTTCTTAATGAGATCTATCATCCTATGAAGTTTCAAGTCCATAGCTTTTATAGTTGAAGAGAAATGGCCCAGACAAAAATAAAGTATGAAAATTAACAAAGGGCAATGACTCAAAAATTAAGAAGTGCAGAGTACCGGTCCTTGTGCATTGCAATTTGGGTTATTGAAAGAAGCATGCATACCAAGTATGAAGTCAATCCGACTAATAGTGCTCCAGACAAGCTTTAGGGGACACCGACTCAGACAACGACACCGCCAACAAAAGTAACCCCTATATGTTGCCTTTTCAAGGCGACACAATAGAGTGCTATTTAAATACTTTAGCAAACTTACCACCTGGGACATGGGTCTGGGTGAGACACATCATTTTGATGTGGTAGACATTTATGCCAAGTTATTTTAAAATCCTTCAATGCATGACAATGTTCTATTAGATAGTTGGTTAGCTTCCTCACATCAAAGTATCCAAAGTTCCTTCCTGGATTCAAACCCACAGTGGTGAGGTGCAAGTTGTTTGAACACAAATGACATTCAGCACTCAGCCACTGAAGCCCCAGTAAACTCATTAAACATTGCATAATCAATAACTAATGATGGAAAGGAATCACTTACTTTCAGATTCTTAATATCATGATAAATTGGCTTAAATATTGTGGGGAAATAGAAAAGACATAACAAATAAATATTGTGGGAAATAGAAGGGACATAACACATAAATATTGTTGGGAAATAGAAAAGACATAACACATAAATATTGTGGAAAATAGAAGAAACATAACACATAAATATTGGGGGGAAATAGTAAAGACATAACACATAAATATTGTGGAAAATAGAAGACATAACACATAAATATTGTGGGGAAATAGAAAAGACATAACAAATAAATAGTGGGAAATAGAAGAGACATAACACATAAATATTCTGGGAAATAGGAAAGACATAACACATATTGTGGGGAGATAGAAAAAGACATAACACATAAATATTGTGGGAAATAAAACAAGAGGGCCATGATGGCCCTGAGGTCGCTCACCTGTATATAAGGTCCCCCAACCCCCACCCCCCCTCAACGTTGCAGGGCCAATTTAACCCAAGGGCTATTTATTTGCACAAACTTGGTAGACATCCATAAGAAGATGTTTCATGCTAAACATCTAAGCTCTAGCTCATTAGGCTTTTGAAAGAAATTTTTTTTTAAGTTTTTACTATACACATATAGTTAAAACAATGACACCCCTGGGGCCGGGCCAGTTTTGACCCCAGGGCTTTTATTTGAACAAACTTTGTAGACACTTACTAGAAGATGTTTCATGCTTTATATCTAAACTCTAGCTATTTGGGTTTTTTCAAAGAAGAGTTTAAGTTTTTGCTATACACATACATGTATAAAGAAAATCAATGACCCCGGGGCAGGGCCAATTTTGACCCCAGGTCTTTAATTTGAACAAACTTTGTAGACACTCACTAAAAGATATTTCATGCTTAATATCTTTACTCTAGCTATTTGGGTTTTTTTTCAAAGAAGATTTTTTAAGTTTTTGCTATACACATATAAGGAAAATCAATGACCCCCGGGGCGGTGCAAATTTTGACCCCAGGCTTTTATTTGAACAAACTTGGTAGACACCTATTAGAACATGTTTGATGCTAAATATCTTAGCCATAGCTCTTTGAGTTCTTTAAAAAAAGATTTTTTAAGTTTTTACTATATGCATATAGGGAAAATCAATGACCCCCGGGGCGGGGCCAATTTTGACCCCAGGGCTTGTATTTGAACAAACTTGGTAGACACTTATTAGAACATGTTTCATGCTAAATATCTTAGCTCTAACTCTTTTTGTTCTTTAAAAGAAGATTTTTTTAGTTTTTACTATATGCATATAGGAAAAATCAATGACCCCCTGGGGCGGGGCCAATTTTGACCCCAGGGCTTTTATTTGAACAAACTTGGTAGACACTTATTAGAACATGTTTCATGCTAAATATCTTAGCTCTAGCTCTTTCGGTTCTTTAAAAGAAGAATTTTTAAGTTTTTACTATATGCATATAGGGAAAATCAATGACCCCCGGGGCGGGGCCAATTTTGACCCCAGGGCTTTTATTTGAACAAACTTGGTAGACACTCACTAGAACATGTTTCATGCCAAATATCTAAGCTCTAGCTCTTATGGTTTTTTACAAGAAGATATTTAAAGTTTTTTCTTTCGGTTGCCATGGCAATTAGTTCTGAATTAAATTCTTTGAACAATTTTTAAAGGTGACCACCAAAGGAACATTCCTGTGAAGTTTGGATGAAATTGGCTTAGTGGTTTATGAGGAGATGTCATTTAAAGTAAAAGTTTACGGACGGACGGAGGGACAGACGGACGGACGCCGGACGAAAAGCGATCACAATAGCTCACCCTGTCACTTTGTGACAGGTGAGCTAAAAAGACATAACACAACACATGTGGGAAATAGAATATACACAACACATAGTACAGACTTAATAGACATAACACATGACATAAAAAGAAAATATAACACAACTTGTGTGGAAAACAGAACATAAGTTACGTACTCAAAGACGAACTTGTGTTGGGAATTATGGTACACACATATACATAAGTACAGATAAAACTGTAGTAAAATTAATATTAGTTCCTTTTTAAATGAAGACAGTTTTAAATGAAGTACTCCATCATGTTGCTCTGAAGTATATGTCTTTTTTGCCCATATGATTTATTCTGGTGGCGAGGCTAAATAAACCAAATACACACACACAAATTGAATAGACACAGCACATGTGGGTAACAGATATAACACAAGAATATTGTAGGGGGAATAGAATAGAATAGACAGAACACATGTTGCAAGCAGAATAGTCATTTTTTAGGGCATATAATAAATGTACTCAATATAAGTGATCATCCTATGAAGTTTGACAGTTGTTAAACTGTTTACAATAGTAAGGTCATTTGATACTGACCTTATACCTTGTGACCCCAATACAGATATGGATCTTTTATTCAATATAGGCCTATGAAGTTTGAACACTGTAACCCAAATGGAACTTAAGTTATGCTCCACAAAGCACAATTTTAAGTGTTAAGGTTTAAGTGTTGTGACCCTGACCTTTGATCTTATGACCCTAAAATCAAAAAGGGTCATGAATTGGACATGGCTTTCATCCATAAATTTTACATGTGTTGATAATTTTAAAGTTTTTGAAAAAAACCTTTTTATTTTAAGGTAATAGTTACTTTGACCTTTCCCTTATGACCCCACAAATTAATAGGGGTTTCTACAAAATATTGACAATCTCCTATGAAAATTTTGAAAAACGTGGGCCAAGGAATAAGAAAGTCCAAAATACAAATTTTCTGTAAAGATATTGTGCCCCGCCTTTTATTTATGACCCAAAAATAAAATGGGGTCAGTTTGGTGGTTTTCATGTTTAAAAATTTACAGCTGTAGGTTGATTAATACTTAAGTTATTGAATGAAAATTGTTTTCAGTTTTAAGGTAATAAAGTCCTTGCCTTTGAACTTGTGACCCTAAAATCAAAAGGGGTCTTCTTCCGTATATGGACAATCATCTTATGAAGTTTAAATATTGTGGGCCAAATGGAAATTAATTTATGCTCCCAGAACTGTTTTCAGTCTTAAGGTACTAGCGACCTTGACATTTGACCTTATGACCCAAAAATCAATAGGGGTCTTCTACCTATTATGGTTAATCATCCTATGAAGATTGAATATTGTGGGTCAAATGGAACTTAAGTTATGCTCCGGAAACCAAATTGCTTATGGACAGATGGACGAATGGATGCCAGGGGGTATAACATAATATGCCGGCAATTCTTTCTGGCATATAAAAAGAATATATAACACAATGTGAAAAATAGAATAGATATAACACAACTAATGTGGAAAATAAAATAGACATAACACATGGATATCCAGGAAGCTCATTGTTCTTTTACTATGTACAATTCAAACAGACATATATTAATCTTGGTTTTATAAGTAAGATGGCCTGGTGTTAAGAAAGTCTCCCTCAAAACTCATTATTATGTTTTCAAATTTTGAGTTCAAGCTCTGGGTGAAACTTTTCCAATTCTGGAAAAATTACAAATGTCATAACTAAACTGGGATGTAGGGAAATATTTTATGCATACCCTATTTCTGGTCATTTCCACATTGTAACTGAAACTGACCTTTGTTAATATTTAAGGACTTGAAGAACAACATATGCTATCCAATAATAATGATCTTAGGCACTTCATTTTCTCATTCTTTTAACATACACATATTGTAAACTGTTGAGCTGCAATCTTTATGCAGAACACTTTATATCTGCTTCTATTCAAAAACAAAAAATATAAAAGGAAAAATCAACAAGCTGAACACAGCCCCTAAGTTTGCATTCCATTTCATCCCGCACAACTCTTTCTGCAAGTAAACATCTACTGTAAAGTGCAGCAAAACTGTTACATATTGAAAAAGTCTTTAGAATAATGTAGTCTTTTTTTATGTAATATTTCACTTAAAGTCATCAAGATTTCTTCTTTTTTTTCATCATGAGTGACTCTCTACTGTCTTTATTTTTACGTCCTGTAAACCAAAGAGGTATACCTCCTTCAGAACCTCGACCTGCTATAAACTTTCCTTCAGCTTTTTCAAGAGCTTCTAATTCCAGTTGTTGTTTAGTCAATTCTGCTTGACCACCACTGCTGAAGAAATCCGGATACGAAAATGTGCCGTCTGCCTAATGAATAGAAACATGATCAATTACTTGATCAGAATAGAAATTTAACAAGAACCGGTTGAACCTGGTGATACTACCCAAATAGGTTTTGGGCACAGATAAGAATACCTCATGTAGTGTCAGAGTTATTTTCAATGTTAGGGTAATAGTGACCTTGGCTTTTGACCTTGTGACCCCAAAATCAATAGGGGTCTTCTGCCCAATATGGACAATCATCCTATGAAGTTTGAATACTGTGGGCCAAATGGAACTTCAGTTATGCTCCGGAAACCATTTTCAGTTTTAATGTAATAGTGACCTTGACCTTTGACCTTGTGACCCCAAAATCTATAGGGGTCTTCTGCCCAATATGGACAATCATCCTATGAAGTTTGAATACTGTGGGCCAAATGGAACTTAAGTTACATAATGTATGCTCCGGAAACCATTTTCAGTTTTAAGGTAATAGTGACCTTGACCTTTGACCCTGTGACCCCAAAATCAATAGGGGTCTTCTGCCCAATATGGACAATCATCCTATGAAGTTTGAATACTGTGGGCCAAATGGAACTTCAGTTATGCTCCGGAAACCAAATTGCTAACGAACGGATGGACAGACGGACGCCTGGCGGTATAACATAAAATGCCCGAAATCGAAATTCTTTCGGGCATATAAATATTAACAAACGGCAATAATTCCAGAATTAGGCATGGTAGAGTTATGGTTCTTTTGCGCTGCACCTCTAACCAATGTGATATATCTACTTATAAAGTTTTATGTTGTTATCTCTTATAGTTAGTTATGTCCTGGACAAAGTTAAAAGTGTAACAAGAGCACCGCTAGGCGAAGCATTATATGCCCGAAAGTTTATTTGTTTTTTTAAAGGATAAATCATTTGTAAGACATGAGAATTAAATAAAGTATTACCTCCTTTAAATAGCAATCCTCCTATAAAGTTTGAATATTGTGGGCAAGATGGAACTTAAGTTATGCCCTGGAAACTGTTTTCAGTTTTAAGGTAATAGTGACCTTGAACTTTGACCTTGTGATCCCAAAATCAATAGGGGTGTTCTTCCCAATATTGACAATCATCCTATGAAGTTTGAACACTGTGGGCAAAATGGAAATTAAGGTATGTTCTGGAAAATGATTTCAGTTTTAAGGTAATTGTGATTTTGACCTTGTGACCCCAAAATCAAAAGATGTCTTCCTCCCAATATGGACAATCATCCTATGAAGTTTGAATATTGTTGGCCAAATGGAACTTAAGTTATGCTCTGGAAACAGTTTTCAGTTTTAAGGTAACAGTGACCTTGACCTTGTGACCCAAAAATTAATAGGGGTCTTCTACCCAATATGGACAATCATACTATCAAGTTTGAACACTGTGGGCCAAAAGGAACTTAAGTTATGCTCCGGAAACTGTTTTCAATTTAAAGGTAATAGTGACATTGACCTTGTGACCCCAAAATCAACAGGGGTCTTCTACCTAATATGGACAATCATCCTATGAAGTCTGAATATTGTGGTCCAAATGGAACTTAAGTTATGCTCCAGAAACCAAATTGCTAACAGATGGACGGACATGCCACTTAAATGGACTAAGGGGCCATTTCTTTTGTTCTTTTCTTTTGTTTAATAATGATATCACAGATAAAGAACAGTTACATATTGTTCCTCTATAAACACTATTACTGTCCCGTGAAAGTGGACAGACGAGGACTGACGGACAAAGCGGCAACTACATGCTCACTCTTTTTGGAGCATAAAAAAACTTCTGGCTTCAAGGTTTGTAACCTTTTTCTCAACCAAGTTATATCTCAAACCTCAGGATTTCCAGTGGTCAGTGGAACATTCTGCATCAAATTCTGACCAATCATTTTCAAGAGATTAGAGTTTGAGCTGTCACGAATTCTTTATAACCTCGTACCCATGTCTTACTTTCATCAAACCTAACCTAAATGGTGTGTTTACTGCACATAACTCTAAACAGTTTTGTGGGTTTTTTTGTTGTTTTTTTGTTGTTTTTTTTTTGAGAGAGTTTTCAGTCACATCAAAAATGGCAATATTCTAACTACTGAAATACTAGCTGCACTCAACACAAGATTTCCATAAGGGTCTCATTATACACAAGGGAAAAACATGAATAAGTTCTTCAAATGAAGAATTTCAATCAAGTCACTGTACCATTCATTGTGTGCTCTCTGCGAAGTTTTTTCAAAGATTGCACTTTAATAATCTATTTTTTGTATCTGTGACCCAGTTATGCAATAAACCAGAACAACTTTACTAAAATAACATGCAAGTCTTTCTTCTATGTCAGTAAACTGGCCATGGTGACCCAACAATAGCAAAGCAAGAATACACACCATACCGTCTGCTAAGTTCTAAGAATTTTGTTCAGTTAAAAATTCATCTGTCATTTTAAAAGAACTAACAGACCATGGAGTAATGCATGACTTTTTCATATATAAAACTATTGACTAAGCCATGTTTAAAGACTGTATGCATTTCCTAAGAGACTGAATTTCTCATGTCATTTTAAATCTTGTTTTACAAGTGAATCTAAATATGTAATTCCATATACTGTATAGGAGGAACAATGGTGAGGCAGTTTGCATCAGCTTTTAATACAGAAGGCATTGGTTTGCATCCCACCCGAGGCGATTTCTTAATAATACTGGTTTAGATATCCTGAAAGTACATGTATTTATATGGCATTACTTTAACGTGCTATAGGCATAAATATATAAATATGGAAACAATCGGAAAATAGCTTATGAGCTAGTGTTTTCTGTTTAAATGTATCCGACGTAAAATAAATTTTCTTGTATCTAACCAAAATAATATCAACATTCTTACCAGATGTACGTAGGCATATTTCTCCTCCTCTTTAGTTATGGTATATTTTCTACCCTGTAATTTTCCCCCTGAAATAAAACAAACAATTATTAGTAAATTGTTACAATATTAAATTTCTAAGCCAGTGGTGAGAAAATGTTACACTACAGTTAAGCTGAATTAATTGACAACATGGAGTTTGATTACTTTGTTACACTGGTATTTTCCAAATATATACTAGCCTCCTTGCCTTCCCCTGAGAAAAAAACAACAACAAACAAACAAAAAATAATCCCCTCTTTATATCACTGTAAATAAACAAGGGGTCAAAGTGAGTCTACAAGTTTACCACTCACCTACCGTAAAATTCCTATTAAACGCCCCGGGGGCTAAACATTTTCCAAAAGGGGGGCTATTATTACAACACGTTTTTCCTAAATCCAAAAATCATTGAAAATACATTTAGTGTAACATGGGTTGGTAATAAGATTAAAATGTGTTAAGATTTTAAAGTTCATGTGATACATTTTTGTGTTTACTATGAAATAAAATGGATTCTGAAGGATTTGAATAAAATTACGGATTTATTAAAGAGTTCACCACTCATGAGCAGATTTTTTCCATATCAAAAAGCCGTGGGGGCTTTTATTAGGGGAGGGGTGTTTATTAGGAATTTTACGGTATGTAAATAAAAAACTCAATTCAGATGACATAGAAACATTCACTTTGACAGCCAAAGTATAATAAGTAATAAAAGAATCCGGACTCTATTACGAAAATCACTTTTTTTTCTCACCCTGATTTGGAAATAATGAGTTTTAAAGGTGATAAGGCAAGAAGTTAATACATCAGCAATATTGTTTACTAGCGGCTAGTACATGTAGTTTGAATAACCATTGACACATTTCTTTCTTTCTTTTTTGTGGGGGGGGGGGGTGTTTTTCTAAAAACTAAAAACAGGTTTGTTTACTTTGAACTAGAAATGTGTCATCATGCCATGGATGCCCCCGCATGCAGCCAAAATTTCAGATGGTGCATTAATTATTTTTTTCATTTTAAGTTCAAAGCCCTTAAAACTTTTCAATGTTAACACAAACCATTTTCATACAATGTTCAAGGCACTGAAATTATTCAGTCTTAACCTTTTAAAAATAGCATATTGCATATTTGTAGCCAAAATAATGGCTAAAAGTATGAGTGCTGAAACTGAAAATTTTTCCAACATTCAGGAAAGATAAGTTTGTCTAAAATCATTGAACCACGACCAAATTCAAACTTAAACTACTTATTCCTAAGATGTATCTATATTATTTTCGAAGTGAAAGGGACATAACTCTGCCAAAAAAAATCATCAAACCATGACCAAATTCCAACTTGACCTGCCTATTCCTTTGACATATCCATATGTCAAATTTAAGTTGAATATGTAACACTGTTGGGTAGATAATGAACAGAAACTGTAAATTTCATATTATTTTCAAAGTGAAAGGGGCATTACTCTGCCAAAAATCATTGAACCATGACCAAATTCGAACTTGGCCTGGGCATTCCAAAAACATATCCATATGTCAAATTTGAGTTGAATGTGTTGTACCATTGGGGAGATAATAAACGGAAACTGAAAATTTCATATTACTTTCAAAGTAAAAGGGGCATAACTCTGCCAAAATTCATTGAACCATGACCAACTTTGAACTTGACCTGCACATTCCTTTGACGCATCTATATGTCAAGTTTGAGTTGAATGTGTTGTACCGTTATGGAGATAATGAACAGAAACTGAAAATTTCATATTGTTTTCAGAGTAAAAGGGGCATAACTCTGCCAAAAATCATCGAACCATGACCAAATTCAAAACTTGAATTGTATTTTTTTCATGACATATCCATATGTCAAGTTTGAGTTGAATGTGTTGTACCTTTGGGGAGATAATGAACGGAAACTGAAATTTCATATTATTTTCAAAGGAAAAGGGGCATAACTCTGCTAAAAATCATCAAACCATGACCAAATTCAAACTTGACCTGCATTTTCTCATGACATATCCATATGTCAAGTTTGAGTTGAATGTGTTGTACTGTTGGGGAGATAATGAATGGAAACTGAAAATTTCATATTATTTTCAAAGTAAAAGGGGCATAACTCTGCCAAAAATCATCGAACCATGACCAAATTCGAACTTGACCTGTATTTTCTCACGACATATCCATATGTCAAGTTTGAGTTGAATGTGTTGTACCGTTGGGGAGATAATGAACGGAAACGGAAATTTCATATTATTTTCAAAGTAAAAGGGGCATAACTCTGCCAAAAACCATCACCCCATTACCTTTGTAAATATAAACAATCAATAAAACAACTTTTCTTAAGCTGCGGATTTTAGTTTAAAACTAAAAACACCAAATTCGAACTTGACCTGTATTTTCTCATGACATATCCATATGTCAAATTTGAGGTGAATGTGTGCAACCGTTCTTAAGATAATGAACGGAAACTGATGATGACGGAATGACAGAATGACGGAAGGACGGAATGACGGAACAGGGCACACTATATGCCCCGGTCATTACATGGCGGGGGCATAACCCCCGCCATTACATGGCGGGGCATAAAAAGGAAAGTATATGTAGAAATCAATCAGGCAAAATCCTTGAGCTTTTGGTTTGCAAATGGTATGGGATCTGAAAAACAGTAAAATATCTTGCACGAAACTTACTTTCAACTGAATTTGCATAAATATCTTTAACTCTCAATTCTGTCCTGACATGTAAAACTGGAACGTTGTATATCTTCTCAAGATACTGTGCAATGTCGTGTTTATTCATTCTGAAAAAAAAAAATTTAATCTATGACAATACAAGAACATAATTTTCACATCATCTACAAGTACTGTATAAGTGAATATCTCCGCATGTCGATATGTCAGCGAATTTAAAATTCCATGCATTTTGAGTGAGGAATTATTAGCGAATGTTGCAAGGGTAGAATATAATTAATGAAATTTGAAATTGGTAGAAATTTGAAGAAATTTTAGTGATTTTCGTCAATTCATGAAATCCGCCAATATTTCAACAATGACATGAGAAATTTTGATGCCTTGATCTCTTTTCATTGTAATGGTTTATTTAAAGCATTTTTACTGTTTAAGACTACAGTGTAAGCTGTTTAGATTGGCCCTCTATAAGTCCCAACAAGTTACCTCAACTTTTTAAAAAAAAAATTTGGTCAAACATTTTCATCTTAAAAAAGCAATTTTTCATTGGCAGGAGGCCAGCTTATTTAATCAAATGAATTTCCCTCAATAATTTTGGCAATTTTCTTAAAACTTAGAACTTTTGACTTTCGTGAAATAAAATTAAAATGACCACCTAAAATTCAAAATGGACAGTCTAAGAAAAATTTTAATGACAACCCTGAGAAATATCTCTCAACAGCCTAAATTTTCACCCCCCCTCTCCCCAAATGGTGTTGTTCTGCATAGGTGTACTGTAATTAGTTAACTTTACCAAAACAAAACCTATTTCACAGAAAGTTGAATATTCTATGTGCATGAACTACAACAATTGTCACCTGACTGAAGCTTCTTAGCAATTTTTAAGTTCTTAAGGCAATTAAATTTCCAATTCAAAAACACATAAACTTGTTTGAAATTTAATGTGTATCATTTTCTTATTAAAATACACATTCATGCCAACATAAAGGTTTAAATATAGCCCATCACTATTGTCAAAGGTTTAACAAGATATGTTTGTAAAACATGTATGCCCCCTATCAGCAGCAAATTAGTCATGTGATCAGGTTATTATGCATGACTTCTGACCCAGTGAACAAACAATTAATAAGGGTCATCTAGTATCTACTGGTCATGACTAGTCACAAGGTAATAATTATTGTGACCCCATAGGTTGTGTGCAGCAATTTAAGTTATTACAAATCTTACCAAATAATATATGCATAAATTTTATGAATCATGTAGGCCTCATTAATGAGAGCCAAGTTGTTATATTACATAAGACCTTCAAATGTGTATACCAAAAGCATTTTTAGTTTAATATAAAAATATCAACCAAGGCAACTTGAGTTGTTGAGTTATTGGTCAGAAACCGCCATTAAATATGACATTGACCCCTTGACCCCAAAATCAATAGGGATCATCTACTGGTCATGACCAATCATCATACCAAGTTTGAAGTTCCTAGGCCTAAGCGTTCTTAAGTTATTGATCAGAAACCGTTTTTACCTACAAGGTCAATGTGACCTTGACCTTTGACCCCTTGACCCCAAAATCAAAAGGGGTCATCTGCTGGTCATGACCAATCATCATACCAAGTTTGAAGTTTCTAGGCCTAAGCGTTCTTAAGTTATTGATTGGAAACCGTTTTCACCTACAAGGTCAATGTGACCTTGACCTTTGACCCTAAAATCAATAGGGGTCATCTGCTGGTCATGACCAATCATCATACCAAGTTTGAAGTTTCTAGGCCTTAAAGTTCTTTAGTTATTGATGGGAAACTGTTTTTACCTACAACCTTGACCTTTGACCCTTGACCCCAAAATCAATAGGGGTCATCTGCTGGTCATGACCAATCACCATACCAAGTTTGAAGTTCAGAGGCCTAAGCCTTCTTTAGTTATTGATCGGAAACCGTTTTTACCTACAAGGTCAATGTGACCTTGACCTTTGACCCCTTGACCCCAAAATCAATAGGGGTCATCTGCTGGTCATGACCAATCACCATACCAAGTTTGAAATTCCTAGGCCTAAGCGTTCTTTAGTTATTGATCGGAAACTGTTTTTACCTACAAGGTCAATGTGACCTTGACCTTTGACCCCTTAACCCCAAAATCAAAAGGGGTCATCTGCTGGTCATGATCAATCACCATACCAAGTTTGAAGTTCCTCGGCCTAAGTGTTCTTAAGTTATTGATCGGAAACCATCTTTACCTACAAGGTCAATGTGACCTTGACTTTTAACCCCTTGACCCCAAAATCAATAGGGGTCATCTGCTGGTCATGACCAATCATCATACCAAGTTTGAAGTTTATAGGCCTTAGCATTCTTAGTTATTGACCGGAAACTGTTTTTACCTACAACCTTGACCTTTGACCCTCGACCCCAAAATCAATAGGGGTCATCTGCTGGTCATGACCAATCACCATACCAAGTTTGAAGTTCCGAGGCCTAAGCCTTCTTTAGTTATTGATCGGAAACCATTTTTACCTACAAGGTCAATGTGACCTTGACCTTTGAACCCTTGACCCCAAAATCAATAGGGGTCATCTGCTGGTCATGATCAATCACCATACCAAGTTTGAAGTTCCTAGGCCTAAGCGTTCTTTAGTTTTGATCGGAAACCATCTTTACTTTCAAGGTCAATGTGACCTTGATTTTTTAACCCCTTGACCCCAAAATCAATAGGGGTCATCTGCTGGTCATGACCAATCACCATACCAAGTTTGAAGTTCCTAGGCCTAAGCGTTCTTTAGTTATTGATCGGAAACCATTTTTACCTACAAGGTCAATGTGACCTTGACCTTCGACCCCTTGACCCCAAAATCAATAGGGGTCATCTGCTGGTCATGACCAATCATCATACCAAGTTTGAAGTTTATAGGCCTTAGCATTCTTTAGTTATTGACCGGAAACTGTTTTTACCTACAACCTTGACCTTTGACCCTCGACCCCAAAATCAATAGGGGTCATCTGCTGGTCATGACCAATCACCATACCAAGTTTGAAGTTCCGAGGCCTAAGCCTTCTTTAGTTATTGATCGGAAACCGTTTTTACCTACAAGGTCAATGTGACCTTGACCTTTGAACCCTTGACCCCAAAATCAATAGGGGTCATCTGCTGGTTATAATCAATCACCATACCAAGTTTGAAGTTCCTAGGCCTAAGGGTTTCTTTAGTTTTGATCGGAAACCATCTTTACCTTCAAGGTCAATGTGACCTTGATTTTTTAACCCCTTGACCCCAAAATCAATAGGGGTCATCTGCTGGTCATGACCAATCACCATACCAAGTTTGAAGTTCCTAGGCCTAAGCGTTCTTTAGTTATTGATCTGAAACCGTTTTTACTTACAAGGTCAATGTGACCTTGACCTTCGACCCCTTGACTCCAAAATCAATAGGGGTCATCTACTGGTCATGACCAATCACCATACCAAGTTTGAAATTCCTAGGCCTAAGGGTTCTTTAGTTATCACTTGGAAACCATTTGGTCTACGGACCGACAAATGCAAAGCAATATACCCCCTCTTCTTTGAAGTGGGGGCATAATTATTTTCCATTAACAATAACATTGTCTATAAGGGGCAATGGGCATATTTCATAAGTCAATAATGCACAAATAAATTTTGCTAGTATTTGATGAGAAACCTTTCCTTGTTATATCTGCATTTGTGTCCAGTTTCATTTAATCTAACCATTGAACCAACTAATGGCTCAGAAATGGACATTTTTCTTCAAAAAGCCTTTATGTATGTAACAATAGGTTGGCTTTTGATGACATTTGGCGAGTCTCATTCCTTTATTTATCTATACATTCCTGCCAAGATGCCAATTCTAACATAAGGGATCTAGATGAAAGGTGGACAAAAATCACTTTTTCAATACCCCCCTTACTATTTCACATTTTTTCTCAGCTCGAATTCAATAAGGTGCTTCAATCACAGATTAATATTACAAGGATCTGACCCTACCATTTAGCTTTAAATCACGTTGAGCGCATGTGTGGAATCACACACCAACTAAAGGTGAAATCATTAGTGGAGAGAGATGATGACACATCCAAATACAGATGAAGTATCATATTTTTATTGAGAATTTGATGTGTAATTACTACTTAAGATCTGTGATTCAACTCACTGTGGATGCACAATAAATGATACGATATTTTTAGGCATCTTAAGTTCCGGAGGAATAATCTTCATCCAAAATAGTGGAAGAAATTCTTGTCTTTTTTCATCCCCTTTGTAGTAGAGAGGAGGCCTAGGAATCTCCCTCTTCCATAAAGGTCTGTAAATGGATAAAAATAAAGTAAGATAATTTATAATATGTTTCTTACATTTGTGCTTGTATTAGTATGCAGTATAAAAATATCAGATCAGATCACAACTTCATTCATAAAAGCAAAATGATGTCACACTTGGAACATGTACAAAGTTTCATTCAAAAATGCCCCAAAATGATTCAATTTTAAAAATGCACTAAACTGAAGTCATAATCATTGTATGGCATATGACTCATTCAGCACACATATGAGTTTTAGATATAATTTTTTTAGAAATGCTCCATTATGTATTGTCTGGAAAGACATAAAAATCTTTTATATTTAACCCATTACTTCATGAGCATTTTGTGAAAAATCGCTGTTTTCATTGAAAAGTCTCCCGTTACAAGTTCAAATTGCTATAATACTATAAAAACTGCTTCAACACTAATCAAACTTGGCACAAATGTTGACTGGACCATTGCCCTTGCAACAACATGATCAGGCTTAAATTTTCTGTTACCATGGCAACGAGGGGACATCTCTAAATTGCCAAAAATCACTATTTTGCGTTGATTTTTTCCATCAAAATTGATTTCAAAGTGCTGCAACTTCTCAATGGATTGAAATAGAGTCAAATGCTTTTCAACGTTGGTTACATGTTACCTTTTGATCAATCTGGGGTCATTTACAGCCTCTCACAAGTCCAAAATTTTCTTGGCGATGAGGGGGACTCCGCCCCCCTTCAAACCCCCCCAAACAGAAGGGGGCATATCCCCTTCTGGCAAACCCCCTGATGTATCTATTGTTGGGGGGCCGCGCCGAAAAAGATGTCACTTTTTTTAACACAACATTTCTCAAACAAAAACAAAGTGTTTGGGGCCTAAATAAGGCATTTTTTTTTTCATCAGCATTTGAGACAACAAAAAAGGGAGGGGGGGTGTGAAAAAGGCGTTAAAAGGCGTGTATATGAAGTAATGGGTTAAGACAGATTCATATCTAGAGTAATTCCTTTTAAAACTTACAAATAAGGGGGGGAAATTGTATTTTTTATATATGGGTGCTCAGGGCCTTTTGGTTTGGGGAGTTTAAGGTTTTGGTTTACGTAAAGTATATGCTTCAAAACCTTGATTGATTTGAAAACCCCTGACGGAAATTTGGGGCCCATTGGGTTTTTCTGGTGTTTCCTCAAAGGAAGTAGCCTTTTGGGGGCTGGCAAGGGCAAAAAATTTAAACCTGGGTGAAATAATCTGTTATTAGCCCAGGCATATTATGCACCCCAACCTGGAAATACGGAATCTGGGTGGGTTTAAGTCATTTACTTATTCATATTGAAGGGGTTCTACAAATGGTGGCCAGCGGTAATTTGCAGTACCGATTTTGCCAGTAAAAAATCTCTACCTGCAAAAACAGCTGATTTTAGGTGAGGCATTTTTTGTAAACCTAAAAAATCGAACCTTGTGTCTGTTAACAGGTTTTGTAATTGGTCTAAAGACAATTGCATTTATTTCATAAGGCACTTTTACGTGTAATTTTTGGATAATTTGGGAGATAATTTTATTCGAATTTGGGTCGAATTTTTTCCAGTGGAGACACCAAAGGAAATAGCCAAGCGGTGTTCCCAGTGTGAAATCCTCAAGTCAGTTTTGTGCTTTTGGTCTGCCATCGTATTTTATTAATCTAACATTAATTTAATAGAGTATTGTAATTGTTTATTTTTTTTATAAAAAGTTTTGTTGTTGTTTTTTGTAATTGGTAAAGCAAGTAATTGAACCATGTCAATGCAAGATGACTTGACAGGCATGGCAGACGCTTTATCAGTAAAGGATGAGCCGGTCACAGGGCTCCATAGCCCTTTTGTGATATTGACCAGTTAATGCTAATTCCTGGAATCGGTAAGAAATTAGCTGTAGCCCTTTTATCAGTTAGGGAAAATAGTGGCAATATCACACCAGAGATTTTGTCAGTTATTTGCCGTAAAAAGTTTACAAAGGATGAGCTAGCGCTTATTGATTTTACGTCCAATAAGTGTTGGCCAGCTGAAAGAAAAGAGGATGAGTTGATAGAAGCCAGTAAAGGGCTTTCCCTGAAGCGTGAAATGGATGTTGCTTCTCGGCTTATGGCAAAAGGTCCACAAATGGATAGCCAAGGTCAGGAACCTACATCGGGTGAGTATGCATCTTGTGGGACCCTTATTTGAGTAGTAGGTATACCCCAAAAGACATTGATTTCTCTTCTAGGAGGGGACGAAATCCTTGGCACGATCTAGAGGAACAGAATACCCAACATGTGGGGTTGTCATGGTGAGGCCGACATTGGTAAATTCCATTATACCCAAGGGGTATGGGGCTGAACATGAAAGGTGTCGGCCAAGCTTGTTAATGAATACGTTGAAATCATTACCAAGGCATCTGACGTTTGATAGGATAGGCTCCTGGAAGCTTTCATTTTGAAGTTTAACAGGTTTGCCGAGGCCTCTAATTGGTCAGAGAGGGGAGAAGCTCAATGCGTCTTTGCTGGTGTTTGACAGGAAAGGCATGGAGTACTTTGTCATTTTGAATGACACGGAAGAGGTAGACTCATATAGGAGTCTATGCTTAATGCTGGAAGCGCGGTATGGCAACATGATTTACCTGCTGCGTTTCAAGCACAATTCCAGCAGGCTTGTCAAAACCCTGATGAGTCTTTGGAAGATTTTGGAGAATGACTGTTGATTCTGGCGGTAAAAGCATTCAAGGGCTTGCCAGTCTCATTTATTGAAGAGCAAGTTATTAGTCGTTTCTGCCAAGGGCTACTTGACAAAGATGCAGGGCATCATGTTTGTATGCAGTCCCCGTCTAGTGTTCAAGGGGCAATTCAAACTGTAAGAAAGTACCAACAGGTGTACAAGGCCATGCATGGTAAGGCAAGAAGGGATACTAGGCGGCGCGATGATGAAAATCGCGATGTTTTTGCGGTTGAAGCTACATCGGTTAGCTCATCTTCCACCCTGGATAACCTTACTGTAATGAGGGCGATCCAACAGTTGGAACAGAAGTTTGATAAGGTTATTGGTTTAGGAAACCATAAGAAAGGGCCTTATGTGTGTTTCAATTGTGGGAAGGAGGGGCATTTTAGAAGAAATTGTCCTGATCTAGGGTCTGGGAAATAGACTGTTTGTGGTAAGGAATGACCATTCTATTTTGGGGTGGCTTATGGGGGACCGGGCGCCACAATGGCAATTGGGGAGGTGGTTGAAGGAGCTGTCTCGGTATATTAATGTGTTGCAACACTGTCCAGGTTGTGAGCATGGGAAAGGGGTGCAGTGGCCACAAGTCCGGACGTGGGTCATTGTATCGAGTACCATGTGGGAACACATCTGGATGAATTGCCTTGTGGTACAGGTAGGTGTATATATTAATAACAGAGCCCAGAATAATTGGGGGTCCTTCTTGAGGAGGTAGATGATACTGTGCATCTAGTCAAGTAATACAGACCAGAAATTGACATTAAATCATATTCTGGGGGACTAGGCGAAGCACAACTGTCTACGGGTCTGAAGGTTGAAAGCCATCTGACACCAATGAGGGAATGGCAAGCCATACCCAGACTTCCCGAAAGTTAAAAAAATCTGTCAGACATTCGGTCTGACAAACCATGAAAATCTGTCGGACCGAAACAAAATCTGTCAGACCGAATAAAAATGATCAAAATCAAAGAAAAACTTGTGTTTGTATTTCTAAGACACTTTTTGGTTTTATTTTTTTCGCCGTAAAAATCGGCACATTCCATACAGAGCATTTTCATCTCCTCCCTGTCATACACCAACGATTCATGGTCCTGCTTCTATTTTTCATTAAATTTTGTCTCAGGTCTATTCTTTTTATCCTTTTATTTCCTCTGACATAGATTTTCGTTTTTCCCAGGTTTGGCACCTTTAGCGACGCCATTTTGTATACATGCGGCTTGGATAAAAGCCGGACACACGGACCGATCTGGAATAAAAAATTGTCGGACGTGATCAAAACTTATCGGACATGTCCGTCGGACCGACGTATTTCGGGAAGTCTGCATACCTTGCAACAAAAGTCTCTGATGGAGAGAATTACCAAAGAGTGTAACAGTCACCAAGGGGTAAATTTGATAGCTTGCCAGTTGTGATACATTGTGTATGTTAAAGTATATTGTCATCACTGGGCTAGGCAACAATTGTAAGGTTGAGGCAAGTTAGTGCCTGGATCTGATGACCCTAAGCACTAGGGTGTTCTATAACTATTGCCGAAGAGCTAAAGGAGGCTATTTCTCATGATCATAGCCTGCCATCTTCAGGTCATCAGGTTGTAACATGTATTAGGGAACAAGTTAAAGAGGAGTATACCTGGTATGGTTTTGGCCATGATGTGAAACTGCTTGTTTCATAGTGTAAGGCAGGTAAGTTGACTGGCAGGAGAAGTGCCATTTGACAATTGATTACCAGGCAGAATCCCCCATGGAACGGGTACATGGGATTGTACTTGTGATGGTGGATCAATTCACTAGGTGAGTTGGATGTATACCTCTTGGGATCAGTCAGTACAGGCTGGAGAAGTTCCAGAACATGCGTGTGGAGTTCACTGCTGTGAGCTGCCGGTCAAACGACCATTTGGAGACGGTCATTGAGGTGAGTATTCCAGACTCCTGGAGACCAAAGCTCCATGTTTTAGTCCTCCGAAAGGTAGAAGTTCTACTCCAGATATGATCGGTGGGGTCACGTTGCGCGTTTTCCAACTGACTGGTTATCGCACAGAGGCTGTGCATTGAGGGGAGGCTGTCGCTCTCTGAGGACAAGCCTGTTTAAGCCAAAGGTGCTTACTTGGGATCAATGGTAAGATGACTTGAAACATCTTAATTGAAATATTTCATTGGTATTGGACCTGTGATCTGCAAATTGTGGTTATTGGTAGAATAGGTACCTTAATCACAAGGGAGGGGTATCGTAACTTATAGTGCTAATTATAAAAAAGCAAGTAGTTGCAATACCAGTACTGGTTAGAACCAGGAAAGTCATCCCAGAAATAAGAGCCTGTTTGGTTAGGTCGTCAGGGTGGACCAACACCTTCAAATAAGATGGGGAGGAGTGTGGTGCTCACGGACCTTGGTTCGAGATAGGTTGAGTACGTGAGTATATGCTTCATAACCTTGATTGGCTGTAACCCCTGACGGCAATAGGGCCCAATTGGATTCTGGGTGATTCCTCTAGGAGTAGCCATTGGTGCTGCAGGCAACATTGACTAGGTGAAACTAATCCATTCATTAGACAGGCATATTAGTGCATCCAGACCTGGTATACAGACATCTAGATAGGTAAGTCATTTACTTATCATTGGTAGGTTCTACATATAAAAAAAAAAAGATTTAAAATCAAGCGAAAAAAAAATATGAAAACTGGGCCTGTTTTGGTTTTTTTTTTACTTGCATGAGTAAGCTGTTTCTTTCATGAGTAAGCAATCAAGCTTTAAAATTTCCCTTCATGGGTGCCCGTAACATTTTAAAAAGGGCCAAAACACCTTTTTTTGGGGAAAGGGGCCCCCAAACCTTTTTTTTTGGGGAAAAAAATTCGTGGGTTTTTGGGGATACTTTGGAAAAAGGGGGCTCAAATTTTTAAAAAAATTTTTTAAAAAGGTTTTTCAAAAAAAGAAAAGCCCAAAAAACCCCTGGGAAAATAAAAATAAGGCATAAAAAACCTTAATTCAAACCAATCTTTAATTTTTTTCTAAATTCTATGGGAAAATTTAAAAAAACTGGGGGTTTTTTAAGGGGCAAACTGGGGGAAAAAAAAGGGTATTTTTGGTTTGGGGGAAATAGCCTATATTTGGCCCCCTATAAGAAGGGTTTTTTGGCCCTGCATGATTCATGAAAATCTATAGACGAAAACATGTTTATCCGAAAATGTGCATGTTCAAGGACACGCGTTTTTTACCCCACATCATAACATTTTCAACAAAGACTCTTACAAACATCGTTTAATATTAATCATGCACACAATTTGAAAAAATCTTACATTCTTGTCAAGTTTTTAGCAATTTTTGATGCCATTTTAGTTTTGTAAAAGCATTTTCTTTAGGTTGACAACCACTAAATACAATTGGTGTTACTTAACAACGGACTCCGGTCTCAGGTCATGAAGAAAGTCTCCAATTTGGGAAATTCTATGACACTGTCACAGTAACGAAAGGAACAGTAGTTAAATAAAAGCAGCAACAATTATTTAATCAACGCCAGAATAAGAAGTTGAAATTTTATCTTGATCTACCATAAATCCAAGAAAGCAAACTATTCCTTTAAGGTTCCTACGCAGAAACATAAAGGTTAAATCCCAATCCATTAAGTACATTGTGACCAGACGTTAGTCACACCCAGCTTGAATTTGGTTCCGATCGAAGTATGGTCTCCCCACACCAAAATACAAATAGTTCAAATTGAAAAATGCCCAAAGAAGAGCGGCTCGATGGATCAAGCTAGATTATGGTCAGACCTCTAGCGTCACGGACATATGCTTCACTCGCTTCGAAAACTGGATCTCACACGTATAGATGCTACGTTATCCCTTTTCGGTAAGATTCGCCATGGTCTGGTTGCTATCCCCTCTCCCAAACACCACGCCATGGCAATCCCTTATGTTATAGGTTATTCACAGCAACTTCAGACTATTATAAACTCTCATTCTTTTCTAGGACGGTATACCACTGGAACCACCTGCAGTTGCCCTACTACCTACCCAAAAGCAGTTCAATGCACGCATATAGCTTCCATTGAACGTGTCTCACCCTAGTTTTCCAGCTCCCTGTTTTTAATATGTTTAAATATTCTTTTATTATCCTTTTAAACTTTAAAAAGCTCTATTGTGTATGGTCTGGGAAAACATAAATATCTTGCATGTTTTCCCAAGTATGGTGTATATAAACTCATTTTATCGTAACTGAATTGATGAGTAATTCTAACAAATGGAACCGCTACAGCTCTACTTTAGAACAAAGAAGTTATGACAGTGATAGCTTTACTTAAGGACAAGAATTAATCAAACTAGAAATCTAATTTTTCAAAAAAAGCAGTAACATCATCTTCTTTTTCAGAGAATTCATTTCGGTTCTATTACACTGACAGAACGCTCAACGAATGACGCCATAGCATTAATAAGATCTACGGGCTCGGCATTTGAATGCGACCTCATGCTTCTGCAATTGTTAATGCAAGAAAGAGGTACACATATCTCTAATGCGTGATAAAAATAGTTTAAGGTACATGTAATGAAAAGTAATTTACCGGCCTAGATGATCACTTATGTCTTCTTTTCTTGACAATAAACTTACCTCGTGTTTTTTGTCGAAAGCTTGGGGTTATATAGTGCATAGCAGAATACTAATATGTAGATTCAATATTTGTTTTATATGTATTTGATATGTCTTGTGAAATCTCACACCTTTTGTTAAAAATGCTTACAGCTAGTGTATAGTGAGATTTGTAATCGTAATATTTGAATATCACCAAATAGAAAGCTTGGTGAGCTATTTCTGTGTACATATATACTAGCTATATTATCAAATTATCATCAGCTTAATCACTTTTGTTTTAATTAAAGCTGCCTCTGTTTAATCTCGGAGAACTAGACAGACTGTCAAGGTTTTATGTATATCCGTATTTCATCTTTAGCACATGTCTTCGAAATGTCAAGAATGTATCAATGATGCATTGGCGTCGTACGAGAGCCGTTTTTAGGTAGGTAGAGTAGAGCAACTTTTCCAATTGTATTTGCGATCTAAAATGCAACTCATATTTTTTGTAGTACCTATATAGTTTGGCGCCGTTATATGTCGCACTTGCAGCTAAATGCCGTAACCGCCGCTAAATGACGCAAAATCTTCTGTTGTCATATGTCTCTATTGTCCGTTAAATATAACAAGATTTTTCGTTGCCGATAAATATCGCAACACTGCCGTTTAATATCGCCAAATGTATATTCATGATAAAATTAAGTTAGCTATTACAATAAACATTGAGTAAATGTTTGTATATATTTAGTATTTTTGGGATGTAAAGGAATGTCTTGATCCATCTGCCGACGCAAGAGAAAAAAATCTTTTTTTTAAAGTAGATTGGTGTACAATGGGCAATTTTCAAGAAACATTTTAATTGATAAAACAAAACAAACAGACAAACAATAGAAATGTATAATATGAATATTCTTACAAAATATTTCTTGAGCAAAAATAATTATCTAGTTCAACATTTTTTGATATGACATTTATATAATGGATTGCCAGTATTTTTTTTATTCTAGAACATTTCATAATCAACATCCACATGTTTCATGGTTCACTTATTTCTTGGTTTTGTACCTTATACTATCAACATAAATATTTGTGATATTGTATACCTTTCGTTAAAAATCAATTTACTTTAATATCCCTTTCATTTGCGATTAAAATTTAAAAAAAACAATTGATTTGCAACTACGCTACTTGTTAGGTGTTCATCTTTTAAGCATATTGTTTTGCATACTTTGCAAATTGATAACTGGACTTGTGTCCATTTACTTGCCGCCACTGCTGAGGGTTCGAATCCCGCCAGGGAATTGGCATTCTTTCATGTGAGGAAGCTATCAAGCTAGCTTACGGAACGTCAGTGGTTCTACTTAAGTTCCCGATCGTGCATGGGGATGCACCAGAGGTCTTCCTCCACCAGTAAAGTTGGAAAGTCGCTATATGACCTTACTGCGTTGTTGTGACGTTTAAATGTCAAAAAACTAATGAAGACTTTTCATATCCTTATTAGAAGTTTTAAAAAACTTATTAGGAAAAAAAAATGTTGTTTGTTCTTTATATAAAAAAACCTATGTATAAAAAGATTCAAATTAGGTCTTTTAATTATTTTATGTTAAGATTTTCCAAAGCTCCAACTAATCAAGATTTTGTTTCTCAACCCCTACTTATACTTATAATGAAACTTCTTATTAAGAGTTGCAAAGTTGCTTTTACGTTTATTTCTCCTTATTATGAGTAAAAAATTCCTAATAAATTTTAACTGGGAGTAACAGTTGCAATAAGGATTTTTATCTCTCCTATTTAGGAGTATAAAAGTTCTAATTAAGCTATTCTAACTCCTAATTAAAAGTGATAAAATCCCTAGGAGTTCTAACAATTTTAAAGGATAGGACAATTGGATAAAAAAACCAACACAAATTAAGTATCAATTTTAAAGAACATTAATATTTTGCACCAGACCATACCAAAATATTTTTGAAAACGTAACTTTATTAGAGATTTTCGATCATGCGAACACATACATGCATCGAGGACATATTGTAAGGAAGGTGACCGTGCGTCCACATACGTGCGCATCACAGGCTTTCTTTTCTCTTACGAGAAAGGGACAAAGAGCTGGCCGCCCTTTTGTTAAAGGACATACAATGTACTTAAAAATATGCCATTTCCTTATTTTAATTGGTATAAGGAGGCTATTTTTCACAGATACATTGTATGTCTTGAATTGGTTTATATACAACACTAGTAAGCGGGTATCATCTTTTGTCCTTTTAAGTCCGCGATGAAATTTTAAGAAGGTCATATCTAATTTCTTGTTTACAGTTTTTTCTACTTTTTTTGCTATGCATAGTATAGAATTATCTTACTTTTGCAAAATATGAACGTTTCAAAAACTTTTGATACGCATTGGATATGCGAGACACATTTCACACTTAGTTTGCAAATATTAACCTGGGGGCATTTTTGCCAAAGTACGCATTTAATTTTTTTATTTGACTTATCCTACTTGTTGTAGAAAAGGTAATGTAATGGGCTGCAAGAAGTACTAAGCCGGTTCAGTGCAGCCTGGGTTACATGTATCTCTATACTGGTGTAAAGGTGCAGTGTCTACAACTTTTACACAATGAAGCTTAGACTCGAACTCAAAATGGTAGATAAAAATAAAACGTTGATCACATTAATCATACTTTGCATAACTTGTCGTGTCAGCCTACATTTTCGTTTGTTTTTGCTCATCTGTGAGCATATGAGGGACCCGGTGCGCAGCCAAAGGCATATTGTCTCTTACACTGTTTATCGTTCAATCAATCGATTTATGATTTAACAACGGCATCACTTTTTCTGTCACCACACAGTGAGGTCGGACTTTTTTATAGTTTAATTTTTTAATTAACTCCCAGCCATCTTCATCAAAACCAAACTACTTCCCAAACTGGTTGAAGCTTTAATGCATCCTTTCTATAAATTTCCGGCAAATTGCCATAAATTTCTACGGACGCACACTGAGTTGTGCCTGAGTTTTAAAGAATACTGATTTCAGTCACATTCAACGCGTTATTTAAATTTTCTGTATTAGATCACCTGTGCGGTATGGTATACACGTGGATCATGTGCATCGTTAACATTGACACACATTAATAGGAACATGGTTACACTAGCATTGTGTAAAAGTAATGTCGCATTAACAAGTTACACAAATATTCTACGAACATAAAAATCATCGTCGTTATTTCTTTGTTCCTTATAAAAGAAACATCGCAATTAAGGAACTTTCATTTGGCAAGGATATGTAACTTTATTTTAAAATGCAATTAGAATATAGAACATATAAAGAAGCAAAATCTAGATTCACAATGTATATTTAAATACAAAAAAACACGTGTTACATCGAATTATAATAACTGAAGAAAACTGTATAACGAGAACATAGTTTATAATTTTGTATTCTTTTCATACGTATTATCGCCAGAAAAACCTTCATTACTTTTCCCATTGCTCATGACATTGTCAGTATTATATTTTGGAAACAAAGGAATAAAACGTAGACATTTTTGGCGCTTTAAACATTGTGGAATTAACGGCTCATACACTTCCTTCCCTTCAATAAAAATGGCAGAGTTCTCTTCTGGCGAGGGATTTTTCCAAGCAGATATGCCTCTTTCTTTGTCCGTTCCTACAAAATAATCGCATGAAATATTTTATCTTGCACCATCAATTTAAAACACACCACTATATATCACAATGCGGGGCGTCCGTGACCGAGTGGTTAAGGTCGTTGACTAGAAACTACTTAAGCGTCACCGTTGTGGGCTTGAATCCTGTCAGCGACTCAGGATTCTTTCACGTGAGGCAGCTTACGGAACCTTGGTGAATATACTCAGATTTCCGTTCGTGCCTGAAATAATGCACGAAGGGACATTTTAGGTTCTCCTACACTAGCTAAGCTGGGCAGTCGCTATATAACCCAACCAAAGAAAAGTATCCTAATTCCTCCACTAGTAAAGCTGGAAAGTCGCCATTTGACCCAACCAAAGAAAACTTTCATAATGCAACAAAATTTGCGAATTTTCATTCACTGCTGATTTATATACATGTAATAGTAAAAAGGGTTTTGACGTCGATGCTATTTTTGCGATGGTCTCTAATTTGGGGAGAGTTAACTGATATCTCTTTAGAAATTATGAAACAGATCGGTACTTATGCAAATCTTTCTAAATTATTCGCTCGTTGCTTTTTCAAAAATATTCTCGCTATTTTTCTTACCTGGAATGGTATTATCCATGAAGCATGCGATAAACCCGCCTAGGAAATTTGGATTTCCTAGAAACATTGCGATTACTTGGTCTAAACCGTTGTTTCCTGGAATATAAATGTATTTTTGTTTACTCATTTCAAAATAAACAAACAAAAAAGAGTGTTGTACATTTATTTCGCCGATCTTTGTCATAACTGATTAACGTATTATGCAATGTTTTAATACAGATTAGAATGCATAGCACGACTATTTAAATAACTATTCATTTAGCGTTTATTTAGCATTTTCTAAGAGTTTTTACCTCATGTTTCATACAGATCTTATGTTATTATATGTATTTAAATCGTTGCTAGAATGCATGTGGGGGATGGCGGGGGGATTTCACCTTTACGGTTATTTTACCTGTATCAATTGCACTCGCATTTTTTTCCATCCAGGTAGGAACCAGCAGGCCAACAAACACGGCTGTACCAATAATAGATAAATTTCTCGTAGATGAGAGATCTATAACTTGTAGGTTAGATAGGTTCACGCCAACAAACACACCTGAAACAAAGGCATAACTATATGAACCAGTGGTTTATTGTACATCTTTTAAGGGACCCTACCGAAGTTTTTTTTACAAGATGGAACTGGAAATATTTTCTTTCCGAGATTTGTACACCATTTGATTTAGGTCTGGGCCAATAGCATGTGTACAAATTTTAACTATATTCCACATTTTTTTCCAGAAAAATTATTTTATTAAGCAAGCATGAAGACGCAAAAATGAAAAGCGTTGCAACGCTTTTCACTCACATCGGGCTTAGAATCGCATAAAACTTAATATTCTATTTAATACTGAGTATATTTTTCAATTCTTGACCTAAGTTGAGCTTCTTTAATGTAAATGTGCTGCAAAAATTATCCATGCCATAGTTTTCTTCTAAGTAATGTTTTGTCATAACATAAACATTTTTTATTCATAAGTGGGTCAAGTCTAAGAATAAAACGAATTGTTAATGATATGTTATACATGCTCCTTGCAACAGATCTTTCAATAGTTTCAAGGGAGTGAAACACTGATGCAAACTCTTTCGCCCCAACACTTTATATCTTGTAGAATTTATATTTGCAATTGATGTATGTTTGTATCAACAAATATATATGCCATGAAATATCATCAAATTAAAACGAATAAAACTTTTGAACTAACGATGAAATAAACAGGCAGGAAAAGTAATTGCCTACAAAAAGAAGATGATTGCATTGTTGGTGGTATTGGTAGTTTTCACTCCGGATCACGACAGAAAGCCACATTGAATTTACCAGAGCACAGTTCAGCCACCGAATCGTTTCTGGGCAGGCTGTCAAGCAGTTTACCAGTACTAGTTGTTGAAACTTATATAACTTCTGTACATGTCAGAGCAGAGGGACCGTGCGTAATACCGTGGAAAGGATTTCATGTTCAATCACAACGAAAGTGGCCTGCGCCGTCCGGGAATTGAACATTGCATTGTTCATATGGCTTAAATTCATATCAATTAAAGTAATAATAGATTCATACCAATTATAGTGATAATCACTCCTCCAAGAACGGGATATGGTATACTGATAAACACCGCTGACACTTTGGCAAGGATTCCCAACACAACATAAATCACAGACATTGCAATAAACACATGGCGGCTGGCTACCTGGACACAGGAGAGAGGAAAACATTCTTAAAATAAAAACATGTTTAACATATGGTGAAATCACTTGATTTTAAATTAATAACTGTTATATCAACGGTTTTTATTCGGAGAAATAAGAAATATAACTTTATAAAACTTATATTTCCAGGAATCTGTTTGGTTTATACACAATTTGTTTGAGTTTGAATGTGTAGGAAGTTATAAGCTTACAGACACACTTTTAAATTCGTTCCAGGGACCAACCAGTACTGAGCTATGAGTACACAGTTTCTTTCACAAGGAAACAACGGCTTGCCCCTTACGGGACTTGGGCTATCTGTAGATTACTAGTCCAATGCGTTAATCACCTAAAAGGCATATTTTGTTATAACTTAGCTACATTTTCTTTGTTGTTAAATGTTATTGACGTACACTCAGAGGCACTTATAACCCGACACTTACATTTTTCGATACAAATCGGTTATTTATGAACGGATTTTGTTCAACTTACACTACAAAGTTCAACATATCATACGTACAACTTGGAATTATATTTACAATTAATTGGCAATAAAATAGAGAAAATAACAAAACAAATATGCATCTTCGAAATAAAAAATCACAGAATGGCTGTTAATGTCGTAACAAAATGAAAAGTCGCTGAATCCTACTAAATATGTATGTTAATCAGTTCCTATGCATTGTTTGTCATCCCATGGATATAACAAAGTGTAAACACCTGTCTCATGGTTATGACGAAGTTCTCATGAAAGCTTGGGGAATATTTCTCCATTCCTGAATAACTGGGCTTGCTCGAGTTCCAGCAACTCCTGCCTCCAAAGTCACCAGATCTAAACATCACACTTATGGGCTGAACTGAACAGGCGCGTGAGAAAGCGACAAGAAGCCCCCCCCCCCCCCCACCCGCAAGTTGCTGAACTCAAGCAAGCCCTTGTTCAGAAATGGAGAACTACCTACGAGACAGAGGTGTTATCGTTGCTATAGCCAATTGGGAGGACATACAAAGTATTAGAACTGGCTAACAGACATATTTAGTGGGATTCAGAGACTTTTCATTGTGTTGTTTTCTGTGATTTTTTCATTTTGCAGTAGCATATTTGTTTTGTTATTTCCTTTATTTTCTTTTGGACGAATTGTGAATATAATTCTAAGTAGTAAGTACGATATGATATTTTTTATGGTTCAAATTTGAAGAAAATCCGTTCATAAAATTTAATAAACACTTTATACAGACAAATGTAAGTGTCGGGCTTTAAGTGCCTCTCAATGTACATGTACATATTATTTGTTAACAACAAAATAGAACACAGATCTATCGTCTGAACCTTTGTCATCCCAATAGCGCCAATGTTACCACCATATGTTGTAGTGGCATGACCTACACCAAACAGTCCAGAAATCATGCTACAAAAACCTTCCACTGCTATTCCTCTGTTAACAGCGTGGCTTGGTGGTGGTGGAACTCTACATATAGCTGCAGTGGCGTAATAATCGCCAATAGAATCAAGAATGGAAGTGAGTGTAGCAATGAGGAACCCTACTATAGCACTGACGCTGAACAGGGGACTGCCAAATTGTCCTGAAAAATACAAATGGTATTTATATATAAATTAGAATTCATTTGTATATCATTTTCAATGAATAGTCAATTGTATTTTGTATATGGATATTACTGGACGAGTGGTTAAGGTCGTTGACTTCAAACCGACATGGATTCGTATCCCGACAGGAACTTTGGATTCTTACATGTGACGAAGCTATCCAGCTAGCTTACGGAACTCGGTTGTTCTACTCAGGTGCCCGTGCGTGCCTGAAATAATGTACGGACGGGTACCTGAGGTCTTCTTCGGAAGCCGCAATATGGCCTGTATAGTGTTGGTTCGCCATAAATTCCAACCATAAAAGTATATTTATTATAATTACATTTGATTATATCGAAAATGAGTAAACTTAATTTCTAACGAAGCAGAAGTTGGAGTATCCATACTCTTTGCTAAAGAAACGTAGAGCATTCATTACATATTGTCTAAAAATGTTTACTTTTTACGAAAGTTAGTATGCTTTTGTTTGTTTTGTTTGGTTTTACGGCGCACCGACACAATTTAGGTCATACGTCACCGAATCAGGACAGATGATTTTGGCTATCCTCGGCGATACAAACTTAAGGTCAAAACCACTTCACCTGCTGGAGCTAAGAGATGCATAGACTCCAGTAATTCGAACCCTTTTAGTCGCCTCTTACGATCACACAGGATAAAACTAAGTCTGCAATTTTGATGCCTCAACCCTTCAAGGCAACCTCTTAGCCGCAAGGGGAATATATCTAGTATGCACATATTGTTTGATAATTCAGTGTAGTATAAAGTTCAACTGTCTAAAAAGTTTTACTTTTTATAATATTTAGTATGCACTTTTAGTTAGATAATACAATCATGACCATGTACATTGTTAACGCAAGCTATGATTGCATAGAAAATGGTTGAATAAACAATAATCCTATACAACTTTGGTCTGGTGCATTTCTCTAACGATCTGTATCAGGTTGCCTAACTTGCAACTTATTTAGACTGTAAACATTTATTACATATATCAAAACTTTTACCTGGGTGAGGAAGATAGAACCATTCCGAATCAGTTATTACGTCTGCACGAGCGTCTGTCCGGGCTTTGTATTGTATGTTAGTTTTATCGGTTGGAAATGCCCCAGCTGCCGTCATGATGCCGCATACAGCCCATCCAGTTATTATTGAAATCAGAATCTGTTAGATAATAATAAAACATCACCATGTATGGCATCGAGTGCTAAATCATTCAAAACGATATACGTTATAATTATTACTGTTAAATAATTAACGATTAAGTTATTGTCCATATCATTTTATATTTTTCTTGGTTGGGTTTTATGTTGCACCAACACAGTATATATAGAGGTCATATGGCGACTTTCCAGTTTTATTGGCGGAGAACCACTGGCGTTATGTAAGTTATCCGGATATATCGCATAAAACAATTTAAAGTTCCTGACGTGATTACAACCCATTGCGGAACATCTCGGCTATTATCAATAATAACCCTTATCCGAAAACTGACGGAAAAGGCCAGAAAGTTGCGATTCCCTTCTTTGTCAAAGGGGCGCCTGAAGTCTTCCTCCGCTAGTAAATCTTATTAAACTCGCTATTGTAGAACCATTGTAGAATTGCAGAGTCAGGGTTACTTAAAATCCAAACAAACAAACAACCCCCCCCCTCCACAACAACAAACAATAAAAAAGCTAATAAATAATGCAGTATAAGAACAATAAAACAACAACATACAGCAAATACTTGATGAAGGGGATATCGTATTGTATGAAATCCTTTCTTTCTGGTCCAAGCCGGGATAATCATAGGTTTGTGCCCTAGATACATTGAAAGAACTACGCCTATCCCCCAAGTCCTAGAATATAGAAACCACATATTTTATTCAAGTAAGTATTTACTACGTTTAAGGCATTTGTAAAAGGTATGATTATTACGTTGCTTATTATCTTCATGGACTTTTTGGAAATCTTACCAGTAATATTAATGTGTTTATGTCAAAGAAATTTTTTAAAAGGTACCAGATATATCAACATTATTAATTTTATATCAACTGATTTGCCAATGTCTTATTTTCGCCTGGCGCCCCGCGGGGCGAAAATACGACAAAATATTAACTTTATCGTAAACTTCGTGTTTTTGCCTGGCGCCTCGCGGTGGCGAAACACGACATAACAATAATCAGCCACAATAACATTCAATTATGAACTAAAAACATGTAAAACTCACATAAATGAAATTCCCCAATGGACCTGCGTATACTCCATCGCCGGTTTTACGATATATAAACCTATGAGTAAAATCGTCGGAACAATTGTTATTGGGCCTACAAAGCGAAGTAACAAGCCAACAAGCCCCGTAGCACCAATCAGAAAATGTAGAAATCCTGCAAGGATGAGTGGTCCCATCATCTATATGTATAGAAATATGGATATAAAATTGATATGTTAGTATACATATGTATCAACAGTCAACGATTCGAAATTAAAGCGCAAAGCTTATTACCAGATTTTTTTTTTTTTTTTTGGGGGGGGGGGGATATAAATAGAAGTGATATATTTACTTAATGGACTGGTATTCTGTTTTATGTATTTTTCAAAGTAACATTCCCCAGAAATGGATTCAAAGTTACAAACATAAGTTACCTCTCTAACACGTATATCAATTAATTGTTCTTGGAGATCCGCTTCGGTGATATTGTTAGATGTAGAATTCAGAACTCCTGGAACTTAACAAAACAAAATGTCACATTAACAGATAGTCAGTCCTGAATATGCGCCCTTTAAAATTACGCCTTAAAGGGACTCATCTGAGGTCTTTTGACATGACGGGACTGGAAATAATTTCCCAAGATTTGTGTTCCATTTGATATCGATCTGAACTAATAACATTAAGTGTAAATTCTCAGATCATTTCCGCGCCCCGTTTTTCCAGAATAATATTTTTATCCTGTAAAATGACACAAAAATGAAAAGCGTTGTAACGATTTTCACTGAAATCCGGCTAAAATGCACTAACCATCGATTTTAAATTAAATCTGAGTATAATTCTTTACTTTAATTGCAGATTTTTTAATTTAAAGTGATTCTCTTTATCTATGTAAAAGAAATCATTTTTAAAGCTTTTAGTCTTCAGTTGTGTCCCTTTAATATAACAAAAGTAACTGAATATCCTCTGTTCCGTTGATTAAGTCAAATGAGTCATCTAAATGAGTGACGATGGTTTTATCGCATAATCAGTTTACACATGTACTAACATCTATCCGTTCGTCCGTCCGTCTATCCGTCTCACATTTTTTGTCAGGAGCGTAAACATTTGAGATATCAACTGGGAACTTTATAGTTAGATAGATCTCATTAAGGACAAGAATGGCAACACTACATTTCATAATTCCTGAGTTATTGCCCTTTTGGAATTATGCATTTTTAATTTGTGTAACATATGTATATGTAACAGTATTTGTGATATAAACTTGAAGCGTCACAGGTTCATATATCTTATTAGGAACGAATGCAATGCACAGTAATGATAACTTACCCATCATAATGTTTTAGTTATTGCCTTTTGGTATTTTTCATTTTTGGGCTGGCGATTTTACGCCAGACCATATTTACTCCAATTAAGCAGTCTAACCTGTTTTTCGTTACCAAAACCGCCTTCCAGAAACCTAAGATCATCCATGTCAGCATACGAATTTGCAAATAAAATTTAAACTTACACATAGCATTTACGTCACACCTGCTCGCATCCATCTTATTTAAAGCTATAATTGGTACAGCGTAAGAACCTGATGGTCCTTGATATACAGGTAGCCGGATTCCAAACATGACCTGTAGGAATGTTGTTACACCAGACAGCATGAATGTTGAACTAACGAGTTTTCTTATAAACACCCCGTCTTCAAGTGCACATGCGGCTTCAGCAACCAAAAGTGGGAGAACGATAGACCCAACAATAGAGATTAGACTTTGCTGTAATGGACAAGTTTGTTTGTTTGTTTGTTTGTTTCATTTTACGCCTTTTACAACAGTATTTCAGTCATATAGGCGGGTAGTTTCCTAACCATCGTTCCTGGAGAGTGACACCAGTACTAGACTACCTTCCTCCGCGCTAATAATGGACAAGAAGTTGTTTATCTACTAACAGGTTTTCTAGTGGAACCAAATGAGCAAGCATCTCAGTGATGAGAGGTACAAGAAAATAAAATGTTTTAGCTCATTATAAAGCTGTGTGCCTCCAGATAAGCAAAAAAAATCAAGAAAATCTACTATGACAAACATGTACTACTATTGAAATATTTAAAGTATAAATATTCACATTTCAAGTTATGATTTACATTGCATATGCAATGAATGACTGATTTTGAAGTATTTATAACAATATTTCTACTACGTGACTAACGCAGTAAGGGCTATTTTAGAATATTTTGACCTTTATTTAGCAATTCTGTATTAATTACTTTCTTTGTTCACTTTATAATGTTTTACCTAGATTTTCAAATTTTTCAAAAAAAAGAAAGAAATAATTAACATGAATCTGGAGGCATGCGGCTTAAAGCAAGTAAAAGAAATCAATGACTTATTGCTAAAAAAACAAGAATAAAGGCCTTATTGAAGTGCCTAATGCTCAAATCGATTTTCTCACACAAATGAAAGTTTTATTAAACATAGGTTTCTAGTAGTCATGATTAACAACCACAGTTCAAATCAACTATTAGGACTATATACCATTGGAGTTTCAGAAAAGAATATATTTTAAGTTTTTTCTATGAACAGCAAGGAAAAACTCATGCCCCCCAGGGAAGGGTTACTGAGAAGAGGATCTTTGAATGTTTTACTACATACGTACAGACATCACATAACTTAAAGTAAACCATGACACTACAAAATGACCAATATCCACCGAAGACAATATTGATAGAAGTCAGCTAGAATATGCTTTATAAGCTTTGGCCCTTGACATTTCAAGAAGATTTATAAAGTTTATATATATATATTCAAAATATAAAGAAAACCCATGACCCCCTGGGCGAGACCAATTTTGATCGAGGAACAATAATTGGAAAAATCTTGTTATAAATCTACAAGACAATGTTTCAAGCCAAATATAAAAGTTAGATAATGTTGAACAATTATCAGTGCATTTTACTTTCAGATATGAAGAGTTAAAAAAGTATCTCCATACTTTGTATTTTAAAAAAACGTTTATGATACTTTGTCCTACTTATGCAACGGACTGCCACCATTTGAACAGCTTTAGTAGACCAGCCAATGATCATGTCTGTAGTTTGGTTAATATCTAGTTTTTGGTTTCATGGCATGGGAGATGTTGTTGAAAGAAATTATTGACGACGGATGACGCTCGAATAGGAACGACAGACACAGAATTATCAAATTAGTTCACCATGTGCACGTTGTGCTCAGGTGAGCTTAAAACGTGCGATATCGGCGATATGTTAATGCATGTTTACATAGTTACAAGCTTCATGGTGACTTGTAAAAACTGTTCACTGGTCTGAACTTAAATAAAATGTTCAATGATGTAATCGGATTTTTGATTATGTTACAAAAATTGAAATATGTACCTGAAATGCGAAGAAAAGTGTCAAATATATTGGTGGCGAATCATTAATCTTGTACAGTATAGGGCATTCCTCTTCAAACTCAACTTCAGTGTTGTTATCACCATCCTCGTCTTCAAATGGACTCTCAGAAATGGAACTGGTTACTGACTGTAAATAATACAAGAGTTGTCAATAGGACAGAGTGCTCGACTGCTCTCACAGGCAAGAACCTGGATAACGAAGAATTTCAAAAAACGTCATAATTATATCAAATCCATGTTAGAGTTATGAACCTTGGACAATGACCTCCTAAAATACTCTCAAATACCTGTGTGAAGTTTCTGTCCGGTCCTTTCAGTTGTTTGGAGATACCAACAACCTTGCACGCAAAAAATAACGAAAATGTGACGCCGAGGTGAGCAAAAAATGATAATCGGAGTAAAATTTAATGCATTAACTACATGTGTGTGCTATATTTCGAAATACAAATTCTTCACCTATATTAATGATGGGGGGAAACCGCAAACAAACAAATGCTATTTAATGGCATTATAATTATTTGTAGTTTAGATACAATTCAGTGTCAAAGTATCAATTAAATAATAATTATGTATGCATCAACTGATCTATGTCAATTTATTATTTCGCTTAAGGGCTAATGATGTACAAATACATTTGAGGATGTTTAAGATAGCTAAAAAAGCATATTAATGATACTTCTGTAAATAAGCAAGCATAAGACGGTGCTAGGGGGCGAAGATGGTTGCATTTATCACATGCATTTTCATGATTAAGTTCAATCGAATTCTGAAACACTTTTATTTTTATCGTATTTGGCAATCTATTGTGTACTTATTTTTTATCAAATGACTCACTATGATTCAATTAAAACTTAACCGTTTGATGATCTAAAATGTTTTGCTACTTTTGTATTAATATTATGATGATACACCGTTATAAATGTGTTTAAAAAGAGCAAAGACATATATCTAAATCAGTTAAACTTAATTCTCAAATACTTTTTTTCCTTAATGATAATCGATAATGACAATTTTCAAATTCCAAGATTCCTTTGTGAACTGGTGTCAACTAAATGAGAAAATATGCTTACTAAAGGAGAAGCCCAGCCTTGTAAAGAAGCTAAAGAATACCGCCTATATCTGGCAGCAACTCCACTCCCAATCGCCGTAGAATTTCTCTTTCCTGGGTTGTGACCATTACCGATATTATTGCCAGTCTCTGTTAAAGTTTTTACATCAATACTCGTTGCGTGTGATTTCCGGTCACTTTGCAAGCTGCGCTTACGTTCTTTATCTGGCCCTTGCATTATTGTTTTCACTGTTTTTATGTATCCTAAATGGAAATAAATATATCGTATATTAATTGATATTGGAAGTTTTGCCTCACGTCCATTGAGCTTAATAACTTCTTTCGTTTGTTTAATTTCTCTGTTGCCTGTGATTTGCAGAATTTAAAAGAAAGTATGTTCTAGGGACATGACCGTTTAGTATTTTACAGCGTAGAGTTCTGAATTTCTGAGAAAAAATAATATAGGCCGTTATGAATATTTGAGAATTTAACAAAGTTCTACATCTAGGGGGTTATGACACCATATTGTTTGGTAACTTTGGTAACCGTGTTATCATGAGTTGACATTTTGTTAAGCAGAAAGTGTATGCAATGTTTCTCCATAAAAGTACTTGTTTTTGTTTTTTGTTTTCTAAAGTCAATGTCTCCATCTATATCATCATCAAGATCATCGCTTAGTTTGAAAATTTCATGTCAAGAATCAAGATATCAATTTCTATAATTTTTGTTTTTAGCTCCTCAGTAAAGTCGGTCAAACCTTAATCTTAGCTTACGGTGGACGCAGTTTTTAGACATATAAAGTAAATAATATGACATATAAGGATCAGAGAGAAAAAAATAAGAATTGATAAAATATAAACTGTTTTATGAACATTTGATAAAGATTTGTCATTTACGAAAGAAATGCGTATTACCTCTCCTTTCAAAATCTAAATCCGAAAATGTTAGTAGTGTGGTCGATAGTAAACACGTTCACTTTTCGTACTTGTTTGTTTTCACGGTGTCTGCATTTGTGATGGGCCATCTTATTAATGCTCATCCACACAACAATTAACATTTAGTGTATCGAGCGCCACTGAATTCAGCTTTCGTAACATGAACCTTTTAAATTAATTACAATAACACTACTGTGACCTTTTGCCCCAATAATGGGTCATAGAAAGAATCAATTTGATAATAATCAGGTACACTAGCTCTTATTATTATGATAAAGAAATGACACACAGACAATTCGTCAGAGAGACAATTTTAATTTCTTTTTAAGATAAAATAATTAAACAATAATATAGAATAGAATAGAAGATGATAATGATGTTTCAATCAGGTTTGCTTTAATCAGAAGGCAAGCTACCGTCCACGCCCCTCTAGCACCAGCTTTAGCAGGAATCAACATTTAAACAAGAAAAAAGCCGAATTTTAACATGTGCCCAGCTTTCTGTCAGGATATACAAGGCTTGTTATTTCTTATAAAGTAGAAAAACGGAATCCCTAAAGAACGCCAAAAACGACAAAATTGAAAATGTTGCAGGCTCGGTTTGATTGAGCCTGTTCATGGAAGGTACTTGAAAATGCAAGTTACGCGTCCACGTCTTTAGCACCGTCTTAAGCAGAATTCAACATTTAAACATGAAAATAGTGAAATTTTGAATTTAGAAACATCCGAAGATGTGTTCATATGACCCATAAAGAAATACTGTTTTTTGTGTTCAGTAGCTACGAAAATGTTTCTTTTAAAACCAGTCTGAATTTCTTATTCTTTTAGGGTTGTGTTTATCATTATATGGTGAATCTTGACTCAACTACAAAATTGAATGATTGTCGTTGTATCATAGCAATGTTTGGATATTTGGGTAAAAAAAAGCATTTACATTTCGGGAAAAGAAATTGACAATAACTTATGCCTGTTAAGGACGCAACACAACGTTAAGCTTATTAAAATTTTCAAGATCGCTCCACCTGTATAGAGTGTGGAGGATGGAATCAATATCAATCTAGATTACATGCAATGACAAGAGAAATGTTGAATAGCGTTTATTTGGTTTAAACAAACCTGCGTATTATAATACAATAGCATGATGCGCGGTTTAAAAACTACACGACATTAGTTAAATGTATCGCCGTTAGGTGCTGCACAGCATGTTTTTCGTATTAACAAATCTATATATATATAAATAATACAATAACATGACGAGCGGTTGCAAAACTACACGACATGAGCTAAATGTATCAACAAGGGAAGGCGTCGTTCAATGAACGCAACCCCCACATGACCCAGCAACAAGAACCAGTGGCAAGGAGCCAAAGCGGACCTCAAACAAAAACAGGACAGTGCACAAGGCAGTGCATGGACAGGCCAAAATCACCAAAATGATAAATAATCTGCAACCGACAAGGAACCACAAGAAAACAAACAAATGATTGAATAATAGGAAATAATTTGTACCTGATAAGGAACTCAAAGAAAACAAACGATTGAAAAACAGGCACACAAAGTCAAAGGGCACAGGAGAAGGGGACAAGAGGCCTGGGAAGGGGGGGGTAAATTAAAAATAAAACAAGACCAGGGGCAAAGGGGAATACACTTACCGTAGACGAGAAAACAACAAGGGTCACAAGCAAAAGTGTCACCATAACAGTATGAAACAAAATAGACATCTGAGGAACACATAGGGGCGCCGCCTTGGAACGATCAGCAGCATAATATTGACTGCTGGGGAGCCCAAACCAGTTCATGGCACACCAAACCTCACTCTTAGCCCAACCATATTCCTATAAACAAGGCAGTGTAAATAAAATGAATCTCCACCAAGTGAAATTCTAACAGTTGTTATGGTTACAAAAGGTTAAATAGGTAAAACACCAAAATGATCATGTAGAAACATATAAAAGTAAACCCAATAACCATAACAAAAGTACTCAATGTCCTAAAGGAAGACAGAGCAACAAGAAAATCACCTACAATCAGCCTACTATCTCCTGGCTAGAGCTTGATATCACTCTAGTCGGCGCACCATAGGAGGGCATAGTGGGAAGCGCCGTAACGCCCAATGAATATGGCACCCACCTGAGGAAGGCGATGGTAGCAGCAGTCGATGCTGTATCTTACAACAAAATGAACATTTTTAGTCCTTGCATTTAAGCGATCTATATGTACATAATACTGCTTAATATGAAAAAATGTTTTAGCACAATGTAGATTAGTTACATTGTGAATTTTCACACGATGAAGTGAATTAAAATATATTTTCTTTGAAGCGTCAGAAAAGTGCTAGTGAGGATATGTTAATTTTTGAAATATATTTAAACTCGAAACATATTTTAGCACCTAAATTATGTAAATTGTTTAACTATAAGCATAGTGAAAGTATAAACCCAGGCGTATGGGCCAAAGGCATATTCGTTCCTGCATCTAAAAAAGATATTTAAATAACATGCAGGTATTATATTAACCAGTATATTCTCCAAACATCGTTTTCAAAATCTTTAGATACTAGGGCCAAAACTTTTATTGAAAACAAACATTTGGTAATATGATTGTCAATACATATTTCGTCAGAAACGTAATTCTATTGATTGTTGTTTTTTTTTCTCGCTATGTTTGATAAAAAGAATCATGCGTCATGAAAACAAAAAAAAAACAATATTGTGCATTCGTAGATTTTAGAAACGCATTTTACCTCGTGAACAAAAATGGGATCTGTTTCAAATTGTTGAATTGATTAATATAAAATAGGTAAAATCATTGCATCAAATAGCTTAACCTTTTCTGATATGGCAATAATATGTTGAAAGATATTCATCGATCAATTAAAACTTTTGTAAGATAGAATGGTAATAATTATGTACGATGATTTTGAATGTTATAATGTTGTAGACAAGGGGAAACATTATCTCCACTTCTTTTATAATGTTAAATGATATGGAAACTTATATTTAAAATAACAGTGCTGATCTTGTAAAAATAGATCAAATGCATATTTTATGTTGCATTTTGCAGACGACACAGTGTTACTGTCGCTAGTTTGCTGTCATTCCTTAATAAATTGCATAGGCATGTGATAGGTATGTAAGCAACAAACATCTAATGTTACTGTTTATGGTGAAGTTTGAAGGGTTTCCCTTAATACTTTGAGATAGGAAGCATTATTAAATACTTTTATAAAATTGTTTATGTCCTTGGGACAGTTAAACAATGCCAGAGGTTCTTGGGAAGTCGGAGTTAAAGCATTATTAGAAACAATAGGATTTGCATGTGTATGAAAGGAAATTTCATTTGGTATCTAATGCAGGAACTAAATACTGCTATTGAAACATTGTACTGCCAATATTATCAAATATATGTTGATATGTAACAATGTCCAAATGGTGTACTTACAATATTTTTTTAATGTATAGCATTTGAAAAACAAATTATCATGTGTAAAATGATTCTAATCGTATAGCTCTCACTAGACTACCGCCACTCATGAAATATTTGTTTTCATACCATTCGATGAAAATAAATCCTGTATTAATAGAAAAAAAATAAATGTCCTCTGTGAATTTTATTTACGAGGAAGCATATATAGTTAATTTCAATTCAATTCAATTCAATTAAGCATTTCAAACAATGTCCTCAACCTCTGTGGCATTCTCAGCCGCGCTGGCGAATTTGTTTCCAGTACCAAACGAGTTCCTCAATAGAGGATTACCTCGGAGAAATGAATGACGAGATTTTCATCAAGTGGTTGAATCAAAAGCTAATTCCCAATCTTCCAGCACACTGTGACGTGGTGATAGACAACGCACCTTATCACACCATTTGCGATGACAAGTTTCTTACGAAATCTTGAAAGTACAAAAAGTGTGATGACGTCCTTGTTACATCGTTATAAAACACACCAAACATGATTGGGACGTGTGTGCTTGCAATAAAATAGATGATTTTCGTTGCAAGCCAACGTGTTATGCAAAGCCCAAAATCTCAATTGAATTGTATTTAACATTAGATATGTTATTTATATGTATGACACAAACACAAAGTACCCGTGCATTGGAAAAAAGATTTATTTGAAAGAAATTGAACTGCTGGGACTTGAACCTAGACCAGTATGGCTGTAAGTTTAGCGCGCTACCACTACACTACGTGAACATGATCAAATAAATATTACTATACTATACATACACACATGACTTACCTTTTCTGAAGTGCACTGATCCATGTTACATTCCAAACGGTTCCGAAATAATTATTTTTTTAGAACTAGAACAAATATTTGTAAAGTTTAACGTGTGTTTCATCTTTGTATGAATCACTTGTTTTTAAATGATAACTTTTCTTTCATATGCAACATATTTCCCTATCTAATTGTACATACATGTAGTATAATTAAGCTCTTCTCGTATAAATGTCACCGCCTTACGTATTACAATTGTTGGTGAGGAACATTAAAATTGAATATTATGCGTTAAATGACATCATACTTAAAAAGAAATCAACCGCAGTTATACGCCAACACCGTTTGTTGCGCGGCGTTACAATGCCCTAAAGGCTTTTTAAAATACAAATCTACAAAATATAGCGTTTACAGCATTTGCAATGCTGCGGGAGATATGCACCAAGTGATTTTATTTCTTCCCTCGAATGACCAGCACATTATATAATATGCACACACGACGCATAGTATGCTAGTTATTACAACTTTTCTCATGCATTAACATCGTCAGCAGCAGGACCGAAGGAGTTTATAAGTTCGAGGACCAGGGCTATGTTATTAATAATTAAGAGTTTTAAAAGCCTAATAAGAAGCAAATTAAAACCTTCTTTGGACTGTATAAATTCCTATTGAATAGAATAAAAAACTTATTAGATTAAATGTTTTCTAATTGCTATTGATAAAGAGGCTTATTTTCACAAGATGTCTTGATATGGTTTCAATACAATTGAAGTAATGGGAACCAAACGGGATATCAGTTTTCTATGGTAGCTGATTTCTGCAATTTCGTGTTTTCGTGTCTTCGCCCCGAAAGTCGAAAGGCGAAGACACGAAAACATACCTATTTGTCGTAATTTCGACTTTCGCCTTTCGGGGCGAAGACACGAAAACACGAAACATTCTAGGCGAAATAACGAAACTTAACACGCGAAGGGACAAACATTTCATTGTTTAAGTTTTCGTGTCGGCGGGGCGAAATCTTTCGTGTCCGCGCCCTTTGTTTGTCTTGTCTTCGCCTCGAAACGCGAAGGTCGAAATAACGAAAATACGGCAGATTTTCGTGTTGTCGTGATTTCGCCCCGAAACGCGAAAGTCGAAGTAACGACAATGACATTGTTTCGGGTTTCGCCTTCCGGTAGGCATGCACAGAACGAGTACCATATGCCAAATTGTTTCAAGATTGACGACATTTTGCATGAAATATGTGCACAAGTACACATATGCTACATATATAGAAAAAAATGGAGAGTAATAGCAATGGAAGTATCCTTTAATGTTTTGCTTCTGCTTGTTTTGTTGTTGTTGTTTTGTTTTGTTTTAATATGGACTTTAAAATTATGTTAATCTATTTAATTTAACTTATCAGCCTTGTATCGTGTAAACTGTATATTTATTAGAAAACTGATTTGTTGATAAATTTCAAGAATGTTGATTTTGAAAGGTAAGTTTAAGCATTGTTTGAACACACTTATCTCCAGTTTATCGACAGTTTATAAGAACACAATAATTCTACACACCACTCTTCAAAATTCGTTTGGTTTAAAGTTAATGTATTTTATTTTGATCAATTAAGATTTCTTTACATTTGATGTGAGATTGTACTGTTGTACATGGGTATGATCGATTTTTAGACGATATTTTGTTTGAGTAAGTGCGAGACCAATCTTGAAACAATTTGGGTACTCGTTCTGCGCATGCCTACCGGAAGGCGAAACCCGAAACAATGTCATTGTCGTTACTTCGACTTGCGCGTTTCGAGGGAAATTACGATAACACGAAAATCTGCTGTATTTTCGTTATTTCGACCTTCGCGTTTCGAGGCGAAGACAAGACAAACAAAGGGCGCAGACACGAAAGATTTCGCCCCGCCGACACGAAAACTTAAACAATGAAATGTGTGTCCCTTCGCGTCTGAAGGTTTCGTTATTTCGCCTAGAATATTTCGTATTTTCGTGTCTTCACCCCAAAAGACGAAAGTCGAAATTACGATAAATATTTATGTTTTCGTGTCTTCGCCTTTCGACAACACGAAATGGCAGAAATCAGCCACCATAGTTTTCGACCTTTTAAATTTGGTTTGAAGTTTTAAAAAGCTCATATTAAATCATTTGAGTTTACAATTTGTTTCTACTTTTAATTCAATTTTTACAACACAATCATTTAATTTCTGCAAGTCATAAACGGTTTAAAAACGTTTTATAATGCATTAAAAGTAGGAGATAAATTTTACGCTTTGTTTTGCAAATATTATCCTAGGGCCATTTATGTCAATTAAGGCATATTCGTAACTACACTTTTTGCAACAGAAAAAAAACATAACTTGAGCTGCTGACAGTGCTGACAGTTCTATAACTTTTTTCTTTCATTTTTATGTTTTTTTGAAGACCTTTTTTGAAACAAAGATGTTATCTTTGATGTATTGTCTTAATAACCTTTATAAAGAGTATTATTATTGTTGTTGTTGTTGTTGTTATTATTGTTATTATTATTATTATTATTATTATTATTAATATTATTATTATTATTATTATTATTATTATTATTATTATTATTATTATTATTATTATTGTTGTTGTTGTTAATATTATTATTAGTATTATTATTATTATTATTATTATTATTATTATTATTATTATTATTATTATTATTATTATTATTATTATTACTATTATTATTATTATTACTATTACAGTAGCTCTATATATAGAGATAAAGGTTTCTTTTCGCAAGAAACAAAAATGTATTTGATTTATCTTATGCTTTTTATCTCATCAGCTGCTGATACGTAATATCGCATGGGCGTTGACATCAAACCACTTGCCTTTCACAGAGACATAGATAATCTACATCTCTGCCACTCATCGTTGTGGGTTCGAATCCCGACACGGGCTTTGATTTCTTTCATGTGAGGAAGCTATCCAGCTAGTTTACAAAACGTCAGTGGTTCTACTTAGGTGTCCGTTCGTATCTGAAGTAATGTAGGAAAGAGAACCTGAGGTCTTCCTTCATAAGTAAAGCTGAAAAGTTATCATATGACCTTTACTGTGTTGCTGCGACGTAAAACATAACAACAACAACAAATACAAAAAAAAACTTCATTGTCGTGCGGCGTGTTGTCGCGATGTAACATTGTCGCTCGGTTCGAGGGATTGCCTTATAAGCCAACCGACAGGGCGACATCGCGCTGCACGACAACGCACCATTTTGCGTGCTTCGCTAGAGACAGGACGACAGCGCGACAACGCGACAACGCGCCGTTTGGCGCTTTGTCGTGTTGTCGCTAGCGACAAGACGAAAAGGCGATAACGATACAGGTTGCGTTGTCGCTATCGACAACGCATAGCGCAATGTACCCAATCAACCAGCATAATATACAGTAGTTTCGTTTCCGGTTCTATGCATTGCAAAGTAGCTATACATTGCAAGGTAGAACGCACATCTGTATTACGTCAATATTTATATAGTTATAAATTTTGACAATACAACTTTAAAGTTATTCATTCAGCATTCACGAAATCACTGATATGTCAATTCCACATTTTAGCTAGATTTCTTCGCTGCCTAAGCAGCTTATTGAATACCCCGTCACTTCTAAGAAAGTGAACGGTATTGGAACATTCGACACATGCGCAGGAGAGAAGTGAAAACAAAAAAATGTAGCATATTCGATACTTAAGACCAATATATTTACCTAATTTTCCAGAGATATTATTTTTATAAGATTAAGACTGGAGGTCATTTTAACTCATTTCGAGCAGAATTAAAATACAGTAACTTACAATAACTGGTGAAGCATCTCCTGTTCTCTTAAGGACATAAAAAGCAGATATCGCTGTCGAGGAAGGAACAACGATATTTCACAGTCATGCCCTTAGGTAGCACTCCACACTAAATTTCAAGTTTCTGCCGTCAATGCCCTACAAGCAATATGTCTAATAAATCTGATCCCAAACTACACAACCTGGAAAAAGAAAACACATTTTGTTAAGAACATATATGTCATAACATTGCAAATCTGTAATGAAATCATCCCATGTGCAACAGTCAGGCAGTTAAAAAAATTCCAATTCATTCCGTAAAAGCCAAAAATCTATAGTGGTCCGAGACCCAAAACAACATTTTTCGTCCATCCGGCAAAAAGTACCTGCAAATATACGGACTACAGAAACTCTGTCACTGCTTTAGCAACTCACTAAGCATGCAAACTATCACAAAGAAATAGGTGCTTGGCCTTGTAGATTCTTTGCTATTGCTGAAAGTTTGTACCCCCCTGTAAAATCACTTGTTTTCACCGAGCATGCTGTTTAAAAGCAATGTTTACAAACAATGGCGGCCTTGACATCTATAATAAACAGCATGTTATTTCTAACCATGTTTTCGAATTTGCCAATGATCATATTACATGTTACAAAAACAAATTTCATGCTGAAAATGCATTTTAAAGACAACCAGTTATTTAAATCCACAATAGTCACTATATCCATGAAATCCTCCCTGGCCATTCGAAGCTGTGGCTTCACTTAGTGTGGTGTGCTGCCTTAACCTTAAGGTTAACTTCGAAGGCAATTTTTACGAAATATGTCACTGCATGGCGGCCAATGAGAATCTAAATATACAACAACCTGAGACAATATCGAAAGAGCGTGTTGAGGTTTGAAACTTGAATTTCGGGTGTATCAGATGCTACCGACGGTTGTGAGTGGTCCCATTTAATGTCTTAAGTAATATTATTTAGTCAATTCAATTGATTTTGACCCGTGCTCGGCTGACAAACATGTATTAGTCTATGCCTACGTACCGAATAGTTGTGCCACTTTTTTGCAGCACGAAAGCGCTCGTTTCCTGATAGATATTTCATGAACGGGGAGGGCTAGAGACTTTGGGTCGGTTTCATTTAGAAACTTAATACAAACATGAAATAGTGATAAAAGTTCTTTATTTATCAGGAGTTGTTTTCACAACGTCCCAAGAAATGAACCCCTTGCTCGTAGACTCGAATCTGGAGTTTTCGGCCTTCTCTTAACTTATAGTATATTTTAAAAGGGGCTCATATTTCACTTTTTTTTGGGGGGGGGGGGGGGGTGACACATTTAGAATGGACACGAGGTATTTTTATCAATGTGGTTATATTTTCTTCCCAGCTCCGATACTCGTGCCTGTGGGAGGTAGCGCTGAAAAGAGCCGTTATGCCATCAAAGGGTCTGCCATTCAAGCCG